GGAAAGCCGAACCAAACGGTTTAGCATTTTGGGAAGGGGCTTTCGAGGCCGAAAGCCCCTTCTCAAAGCTGAACCAAACGGGGCCTTAATCGTTTGGTTCAGCTTTCTGGACTCCGGGCCTGTTTGATTCGGCTTTTGAAATGCTACTTGGAGAATATAAATGCTTTTAGATTAAAGCCTCTTGGAAAAATACAAATGACGTTTGGTAAAAAATCACTTGTGAAGTTACTTTAGACTAAGTAGTGTTTGGTAAATTTTTTTTTGCAAAAGGTCTTTGGAAATTATCTTTTTTATTTTAAAAAAAAACCTACTTTACCCTTCGCCGAAGCCGGTCTTCCAATGAAGGCCGACGGTCGCCGGCGAGCTAGATCTGGTGCCGGCAACCATTGCCCGAGGTCAGGCGACCGCCGGCGAGCCAGATCTGCCGCCGTCGCCAGAGGCCAGGCGACCCATGGCGAGGGTCGCGCGACCTCAGGCGATCCAAGCGGCTGTCGCCTGGGTCACTTGACCTCAGGCGACCCAGGCGACGGCCGCCTAAGGTCGCGCGACCCAGGCGAGCCAGATCTGCCACCGCCAGCCGTCGCCCGAGACCAAGCGACCCATGGCGAGGGTCGCATGACCTCAGGCGGCTGTCGCCTGGGTCGCCTGAGGTCAAGCGACCCAGGCAACGGTCGCCTGAGGTCGCGTGACCCAGGCCACCGTCGCTTGGGTCTTGCGACCTCGCCAGCCCGATCCAGTGCCGGCCTCCCTCGTTGGCGGCCTCGCGAAGATGATGAACAGTAACAAGAGGGGCAAAAATGAAATAAGCCAAAATAAGTAAGGGTAGTTTGGGGACAAAAAATTTGGCTTCAGCACTCCAAATGCTGAACCAAACGGTTCAGCATTTTGGGAAGGGGCTTTCGAGGCCGAAAGCCCCTTCCCAAAGCTGAACCAAACGAGGCCTCCATTGGCCAAATACTAGCATTTGAAAAGCTGAATCAGCTTTGGGCTTTCGGCAGCTGAAACTATTTTTTCCTTCCCAAACTACCCTCACTTTTTTTTAATATTTCGATTTTGCCCCTCGTTATTGTTCATCGTCTTCACGAAAGTGTGACCGGGGAGGGCAGCCGACGACACCGGATCTGGACGGCGAAGGGCCGGCGAGGTCGTCCGACCCAGGCGCCGTCGGCCTCGGTCGCGCGACCCCAGGCGGCTATTGCCTGGGCGGTCGCGCGACCTCAGGCGACGTCAGCCTGGACCGTGACCCAAGTGGCCGTTGCCTGGGGTCGCCCAACCCAGGACGTCATCGCCTCAGTCGCGCAACCTCAAGCGATGTCCACCTGGGCCGCGACCCAGGCAGTCGTCTCCGAGGGTCGGCCGACCTCAAGCGACGATGCCTGGGTCACACGACCTCAAGCCTCGTCGCCTGAGGTCGGGCGACCCCCGGCGACAGTCGCGAGGGTCGCGCGACCCTCGCCAGGTCGGGCGACGGTTGCCGGCACCAGATCTGGCTCACCGCGCGGCTGTAGCCCTTCGCCCTCTCCGGCAAAAGGTAACTTTTTTTTTAATAAAAAAGGGTCTCAAAGCCCTTTGCAAAAAAAAAACTAATTAAACACTACTTTTGCCAAAGTAGCTTCACAAATTTTTTTTTACCAAACACCATTTACATTTCCCCAAAAGGCTTTAACCTAAAAGTATTTGCATTCCCCCGAAACTCATTTGCAAAGTTGAGCCAAACGGGCCCTAAGGCTCTGGTTCTCGCAAGTCAGGACTACTGACCAAGGACCGGTGAGGAGGATGGATTCCGGTTAGGTTGGACCGGATTTGAAATGCCGAGCGGATCAAGTTCGATCGAATACGATTCCCTTTGTTTCGTAGGAATCAAAACCATGCTATTAGCAGCTTTGCACGGTTGGCGATTGCAATTAGAGGTGTTCGATTTCAATGTCGGTGAGTACCGAACTAATAAACCCAGAAGTTATTATGTCGGAATCAATTCTCGAATTTTTTGAAACAGGAACCGAACCGGTCAGCCTTGAAATCGGCATGGAACCAAATTGCTGGTTTTAGAGTTGACCTGAGTAGAGCAGGCGGTTCTCGATATAAGGGAACTGGAACAGTCAAGTTTGCTTCCCAAATTTTCGCTCGAGAACCAAACCGATTCCAGTGTGAATCGGCCTTCAACCGATCACGTATATTGATTTGATTCGGTTCTCGAGTTGAATTGGCCTGGTTGCTCGCCTCTAATTATAGTTAGGTTCGATCGATAAACAAGCCTCACTTGCGCTTATCTTGAAAAAAAAACAATGAAAACAAAGCGTCCTCAATTGGCTTTCGAGTAAATAGAGCGTATATCAATTTATGATTACGTAGAGGTGTCAAAATGGGTCCAAAACTTATAACTCATTTTTAATGAGCTATATCATAAATGGGTTGGGTTGGTCTGACCAAAAAAATGGGTTGGGTTGGGAACATCCCCATTTCCGTTACAGAATAATCAAAACCTACTTTCAGCCCATAAAGCTCTCTCATGCACTTATTACTTCCCTCTACTCGTCCTCTCGAACTTGTTTTTGGCTGCCTGTAGGATCGGAGTTGCTCTCCTCCTCCTCCAGGGCTGCCACCTCGCCACCCAATTCGGCGGTCCCTAAGTGGCAAATCCTAGCATTAAGTGATGGCTTGGCCACGATGATGCTCGAGCTGTTGATGTTGTTGCGAACGAACTTGTAGCCCAAGTAGATGAATTTCCCATAGATTAAGGTGCCCAGGAGCTTGATTATGCTATTGTGCCGGCACTTGGTGATGGCAGAGAGGCCACTGCAGAGCTAGTGCAATTTGAGGGGTCGCGTGAGGCAACACTAGAAGACGATGTCCACCTGGCTGAGAAAGGCTCAATGCCGAGAAGAGGAGAGGCGGTCGAAGAGGAAGTTGTTGATGGCAAGGCAGAGGTCGAAGAGGCTCTATTTGAGGGGGTCTCCAGCAAGAATTGCTTGAGCTTGGACGGGGAGTGTCATCGGGCTAAAGAGGGAGGACGAATTGGAGGAGAGGTTGAAGCTACTTAAGTTGAGAGAGGTCGAAGATGACAAGAGGAGTCGGAAGAGGAGTTGAAGGACTTAGAGGTTCTTGAGGATTTGGATGGTTGGGTGTTGTTCTATGGCTAGGCCAACTGCATCTACAAATGCTCTTCATCTTCCCTTCTATTTGTTTATTGCAGGCTTTCTAGTTTTAAGGCAGGCCGATTGCAACGTTGCTTTTCGCTTTTTCATTTTGAAGTGACAATTTCTCCTCCTCCTTTTTTTGACCCTATCTTCAGTTTGCTTACGTACTATTTTAAATACAAAGTGCATATTTTTCCTAAATACATATAGCCTTAAAAAGAGTACTTATTTTATGATCTCAAGTTTCACAACTTACTGTAAGTGTAACTTTTATATGATTTATTCAGTAATATATTTTCTTACATCCGTTACCTTAAATATGTTTCCTAAGTCCGTACCGACAAATGTATTTAGTTTTGTCTAAACGAGAACAAAAAGAAAGCTCTCAGAGGAAGTGTAGAATTTTAAACATTGTTAAAAAAAAAATAGTGACATGCTAATTGGAAGCATATAGTATGCAATGAATATTATGTTTCATACTATAAAAGTCAAAACAAAAATTAGAAGTGCTTACCTAAATTAAATCGGTATATAAGAGTACTAACCAGACAAATTTTGTGTATAAAGGGTCATCACAAGAAAGTACATAACACCACATAAAAGGCGTTTACACACGCAGTTACCTTTCTTTCTTTCTTTCTCGTTCTTTTACTCTTTCAGCATTTTTTGTTATTGTAACTATTTAAAGTTACATTTTTAAATGGTGTTTATGTGTGTTTGTGGGGTTTGAAATTTGAAATAAACCGATGAAGGTTCCATGTATTTTGCTTTAGAACATATGATAAAATAGGTACTCCGGTGGCAACGTACCAGCAATAAACTACTAGCATACATTTAATTTGGGATAAGCACAAAAGACATTCAAAACGTTTGATCCATTGGTCAATTGAGTCTCGCCCGATGTCGGTTAATAGAGTGTTGATCGTCTAAAAAAAAGTGTAATCAAGCGTCCTCAACTCATAATCAGTCCAACATGGCTTGTTCTAATGCCGACAAGCCTCGACCGGCAAATGCATTAAGGACTCGATTGCACGTTCTTTAAGCATTCGGGATTCAATCATCCGGAACTAAACATTCAAGACTCAATTGACCAACGCGCGAAACGTTCAAGCCTCCCTCATGTCTACCCCCCACCACTAAATTGCTTTGCAAAGTGACACGACAAATCGCCACTTGAAACTTAAACGTGCCTGCTAATTTGGAAAATTGTTCAAAAAGTCATAAACCTATTATACGGCGGTCAATTCAGTCCTAAACCTTTTAACTGTGCCAATTTAGTCCCAAATTTTTTAACGGCTTGCCAATTTAGTTATAAACCTTTTGGCGGTTTACTAATTTAGTCTTGAACCTTTTAGCAATTTGTCAATGTAATCATTTCAGCCAATTATCCAAATAAAGGTTTAGGACTAAATTGGCACAATTGAAAAGTTCGGGACCGAATTGGCCACCGCCCAGTAGGTTTATGACTTTTTGGATAATTATCCGCAGCTAATTCAAACAATCACTTGCGGTTTATCAAGACTACTTGGGCCATGTGTCGGATAGAAGGCAAAAAGGAAGCCAGAGCTTGGCTAGTCGAACAGCACTTAAAGAGAGAAGGAGGAAGGTCCTAATCAAGACGGGTCCGATCGGAACTAACGAATCAAACCCTCAAAGGATAAGGTCCAACCACCATTTTCTTTGTCATCTTCTTCTAACAAAACTCCAGTGTGTAGTGAACGCAAAGAAATTTAACCTCTCTCTTTCTCTACCAAGATCTTTATTCAACTCCCATTAAAGATCATCAACCAGCTATAGCGTCGCCATTAGTAACGACCTCATGATGAGCTCCCATGTATCCGCACTGCGTTTTATCCACACATGCCTTGGAAACTTTGTACTTAAAGGCGACTCGATGAGGCCATTGACATTGATCAATCTGCCTCTTTGCCTCTCTATAAGCACCTTCTCGGAAAAAGGGTCGGAGGAGGATGGAGGGTCAAGAAGGAGGCGGCGGCGGAGGCGGGGTGGTGGTCGTCGGGCAGGCGGAGATCGACACGAGGCTGCCGTTCAAGTCGGTGAGAGAGGCGGTCGCACTGTTCGGGGAACGGGTTCTCGCCGGGGAGATCATTGCCAATAAGCTCAAAGAGGTCCTATTTCTTTCTCCTTCTATAGCATCACTCTAGGGTGAAGTAGTCCATATGTACTTGAGAGCCATGCATCCGATGCATCGATGACTTTCCTGCGTAATGAAATAGATTTCTTGCATTATTTGGACAATAACTCGAATTTTACATGACATCCGACGTACGTTGTATGTATCCGTGCTTGTGAATTTATGCGCCAGATGCGAGCCGGAGCTAGCGAAACTGCCCAAGCGGCTCACTCCCGAATCGCGGCCCTAACGGTCGAGCTCGAGGAGACGAAGCAAAACCTCATGAAAGCCAGAGAAGACAACAACCGGTTGGCCAACACCATCAAAACCCTGAAAGAGGAGCTCGAGAATGCCAGGAGAGAGGTAAAGCGACTGAAGGCCGTGGCATCTCCGAAACACTCTCTCAATCCCGAGATCGAGGACTTCAAGTTCATCGAGAACGTCACCAAAGTCGGCAGAGCCAAGAAAAAGTTAGCGCTGGCTATCGAAGAAGAAGATGACAGCGTCGACGACGAAGACGATGACGGAAGGGAGTTCGAGTTCCATAGGAAGACGAGGTACGTGAAGTTCGCGAGCCCTCCGTCGCTGACGCGGGTGATCGCGAGCAGAGAAGAGCGCGAAGCGACGCTCGAGAGGCTGCCGTCGGTGAACAGATCGAAGAACAAGAAGGCTCTCGTTTCCGTCGTGGGGTGGCTGTTCGCAAGGAAGAAGGGCGGACCTGATCATCACAAAGAGGATTATTAGTTCGTTCATGTTTCCTCTTCAGAAGGAGCCTGCTCTCTAAGGGATCGTGAAGTTTCTCGTCACGTATGTGTCCTGAGCATGTGAGACTTACCACAAGGAGCATCTTTAATTTTTGTTCGATTAGTTGAATTTTTCCAAAGGCTGGGATGTACCTAGGTAGCGACGGTATTGGACCTTATATTATCGATATTTACATCCACTGCTCTCGAATAAGTCGCATTCGTCTCGATCAAACGCATCGCGTGCTTTTAATATTTGGTACAACTATCTCTTCTCCCTCTTTCCCATCTCAGTACCAGCCGCCGCCCCCGCCACTGCCACGGCAATCGAACCGTGCCATTAGTACAGTAGTGCCCAACAACAATCTCTCTCTCTCTCTCTCTTTCTAACACCAAGACCGTGCTCGCCAACAATGGCGAAGCTAGACACCGCGTCGAGCTCCCTCAGGATTGGCGAGGCCCTACTCGCGGTGGAGACGCTTTCCTCATCTACTAATTTCAACAAGTTCATATAAGTCCTCCCCGATTAGGGCCGATGCACCTTACTTGCCGCGCCATGATGTATTAAGGAGTAAGCTCATTCACACACATACCATAAATACATAACTAAAAGCTCATCGAAAGATACGCCTGAAAACATTAGCTCGCTTTACATTTCTCTCGGGTTCTTCGTCTTCTAACTTAAACATCGGAAGGTCCTCCTATAGTAAAACACCTGAGGACTTCTTCTTTTCGTAGTGCATAAATCCCGCCAAATGCTCTCGTCGCATTGAAAATCGAACACAAGAAACCGTGCATCGACATTCGACACCATCCACGTTAGTACCATGCAACCCACAACATCTACTGAGCACAGACGTGTAAAGACCTCAGTATTCAGATTGACCGTACAAACTACATAATTCATACAGAGTCTCATAAGAATAACGTTGTTCTACACAAACATCTGAAGCTCGAAATGAGCGAGCGTTGGTAAGTCGTTCTCGTCTCGGGCCTGGTCCGATCAATCATGGGCGCGATTGGGTAAGGATTTTTAAAGCTTAGTTCGAGGACCAGCACACCCGGCAACCCAGCTTTTTAGCCCATTGGTCGCGTTTACAGCGCTGCATGTGCAATGAATGCACTCGTGCTCGACGCATAGCCACCTAATGTCCCGCACGCACGCCAAAACATCCCAACTTTCATGACCTTTGCAGAAAACAGTAATGCTAGTAACGGGGCCAAAAGCACCCAAAAATAAAAAAAAGTCTACGTTAATATCGATTCAATCGTTAACCTTTCAATTAGATCGATTTAGTACTAAACATTTTCACATTGGAATCAATTCAGTTCATCTAGCTAATTCAAGCAGGAAATTGCTAACAAGAACGCCGGCCGTCGTACCGGCGCAGGCGAAGTTGACGTGGACAATTTTGATAAATTTTTTATATTTTTCAAAATATTTTTAAATTTATTAGCTCTTTTTCTTTTCTTTTTGTACACTTTGTGCCCGTACACTCTCGCCTGGATCTGGGCGAGGGCATGATGCCCTCACCTGTGGCTGGCCGCCCCTCGCCTAGACCTTGCTTGTGGCTGGGCGAGGGTCAGCGAGTGACCTCGCCGGCAAAAAAAGGAAGGAAAGAAAAGATAAAACAAACAACAAAAAAAGTAATAAAAAATTAATAAAATTTTAAAAAAGTTTGGAAAATTATTCACATTAGTGCCGGCTATACCACGTAAGACGGCCGGTGTCCACATCAATAATTTCCTGCCTAAACTGGCCGGATGTCCTGAATCGCTCCTAATATAAAATTTTTTATGACTGAATTGTTTTAATTGAAATGTTTAAGACTTTTTTTTTGTACTTTTCCCTACTAGTGACGCTAAAACTCGTATATTAAACTACTATCCTGAATGATATAACACTAAGGGTATGTTCGTTTCGTGGAAAATGAGTGATTTTCTATTCCTAATTACTTTTCGTGTGTAATGAAAAAAATTTCAATTTGTTTATTTTTCTAAACGATATAAGCGATCATTTTTCGGAAAATATTTTTCAAATCACTTATTTTCTGCAAACGAACACACCCTAAGTGAGTAATTATATAGATGACTGGGCCAATTTAACCACCCGATGAGAACCCACAACACTTCTTGATAAACAAATTCGGTAGACGACTAACGAGTCTTTGCACGTCCAGCATCATTCGCTAAAATTCGCGACGGATAAAATACCCGATCGCTCCACCGTGTCCGTAAATCATCTCGACGTTACCAGAGCTACGTGGATGCTCTCGAAACACTTCAATCCCATTCATTCGAACTCGAAACGATCGGGAAAGCACACAAAATCGTGATATCAATGTCCGGGGCAATATAAAATTCGAGACGCTGCGAACTGAATTGCAGCGTCGCGTTCATGCACGGGCGAGGGAGTTCGATCATATGGTCGGCAAGTCGGCTGGATTTAAATTTTATGGTGGGGGGGGGGGGGGGGGGGGGATGTGGTGAAGGCATGATGGAATAAAAATGGAAAAATTATGGAGCCGCGCACATGTTACCATGTGAAACTCTGCCCGAGTACGGACAAAAATCTTGTGCTGCTTCGCGCCGCGCCGCCCATTCGGCTCGGCTGCAGCCCCTCAAGCCAAATAGCCAGCCGATTTGGGGGAACTCCCCTCTTTATGAACTTTCAAGACAAAGAAAATAATTATTTAAATATGAGTATTAAATGGGTTAAAAACTAAGGCTGCGTTTGGTCGACCTGATAAAAACCAGAATAGGATATGTTTTATCCTATCCTGTATTTGGTGGTGATCCAGGATAGGATAAGGTTGGATATAGACCGGATATAGCCCGGATAAAAAAATTCGAGGGGGGTGGGATAGATCCAGATAGGATTTCTAATGCCTAATTTTCTAGAAACCCTACGCTCCACTCGCCGCCATCTTCATCCCCACACCTTGTGCGCTTTCACCAAAAAAATTTCTCGGCTTTTTTTCCTTCATCGACTCCTCCGGACCCGTGAATAGCAAAAAAAAAAAAATTTATCATATCCGACTTCAAATCCGTAGTCCACCAAACAGTGGACATGATATGAAGAAATCCCAGGATTTCTTATCCTATCCTATCTAGTCCTATCCTGTTTAGAAATCCGGACGACCAAACGCAGCCTAAGGGTGAGCGATTTCAGGTTTTGTATAGGTTCCACATAGAACCTACCAATTAGAATAAGTTCCTCCGTTTTTTGGAACCTAAAACCTACCCTGCGTGCCTGAGAATCAGGAACTTGCCTCGTCACAAGTTCTAGGATCAGTTCCATATTACACATGTATTATTAATTGAACAATTGTAATGAATCATTATTTTTAATGACTATCATTTACTGCTACAATCCACTAATCACAACTCATATTTAGACACACGAAGATCATGATCCTTGCAGATCAGATCATCCATATAATATACAAAAAGGAATTCCAGATATTTGATATATTTTTCTTTGAATGAGATCTCAATTCCAGCGACGGTTTCATTACATATCTTACGACTAGAATCCCGCTTTTTTCCAATCCAATTCCTCCACCACTGCAAACCCCAGTTAGATTGAGGCATGACACACTTTTTTGTTATTGGGAGAACCCAAGTACTCTCTTTCGGATCCGGGAAAGAGCTCTCAGAGATCTTTTTTTCCTTTTAGAAGATAGAGGAGCAGAACAATCAACCTATTGATATTGGAAGACCCAAAAGATTCTTCCAATGTATCATTTCTAAGTCCAACGGAATTCATAGGCATAGGAAGAACCCCCGTCAAATAGAGATTTTTTCTTTCGACTATACTTCGATTGTTAATACAATATATAAGGACCGCTACTACAAATAATACTATACCCATGATCATGAAATATCGAGTGCGTGAAAGTAGGATACTCCAAATTCAACATTAACAAAATAAAAAACTCGGCCATAAAATGGAAGTTCGGACTATTAATTCCAGATTATATACTTATCATTGGACATCATAGAATCACGCGAAGAAATAAACCAAGAAAAACATAAAAACTTATTACAAGTTCTAGGTTCCAGGTTCCACCTATCTAAAACCTATACGGTAAAACAGGTTCCCCAATTTTTAGAATCTGGAACCTATTCTGCATACCTTGGAACCTGGAATCGGACAGGTTCCCATTGGTTCGGTTTTCCGGCTCGTCCGGTTTTCCAACCTTGGAACCATGCTGACCCTTAACTCGTCGAATTGAAACACACGACGAGTCAATGCAGTAATTCAGACGCGCCGATATCGTGCCTAAACGAGTCGAGCGGGGTCAATCTGCGTAAGACGGATCCTTTTATTTCGTACCAAAACTCGTCCGACTGCATGCCGTGTCGTGTGGAAGGGCGATGTCGAGAAATATCGGACTTATTTCCAGGGTGTTCTACGGACTTCCAGATAGTCGGGTCTCTATGTTCTCGCCCTCATATTATAAAAAGAAAGGGGGAGAGATGATACCAAGGAACATAATTTACAAAACATAAGATAAGATTGCGTGCGAGTGGCGACAAAAGGTCAGGAGTACAAACTGAGGAGGGGGAACAGATCGGGAAATGCTGCAGCATTTCGGGTTGATCCCGCAAGTAAGACGCGAGCTTGGCATCTTCGCGAGAGCGACGACGTCGTTTTTGTTGCTCCCGAGAGAATGTTCCTTTCCCCTATTTTTGCGGACGACGATGCGACATGTCTTTCGTCTCCCGAGCAAGGAGATGGAGCGCGCGTGATTGGTCTCCATTAGGCAACAAAAAGAAGTCGACACAGGATCAAGGATTTGGGGGAATCATATGGTCCGAAATCGAGCTAACGTTTTAGGGGAAAAAAAATCGATTTCCTCGTGACAATAAATGAAATCCGTTCGGGTCGATCGGCGTAAGCGAAACTTAGGTGGCTTATTTAGAAAGCAGGTCCAACATTTCTAAATTACATGATCGAATCGCGGTTTGGAGAAGAGAGGGGGGGAGAACTTTTTTTTTTTTTCCCTCTCCCTGACTTCCTCTTCATAACAAACTATCATTTCGTTTTCAATGTTTCGTACTCACTTTCGTTTTCCCCCCTCTTCTTTGATATAGGTCCATTCTCACGTAGCAAATATGTTCGTTGATGATTTTTAGCGTAACTTCACTCCTTTATGATAGATACATAAAAGATCTAGACCTGATTAATGGACGGGTCATTCTTTAGGGAGTACATTATACATTAGACTAAAGTTTAAGGATTATATTGAATAAATTAAAAATTCATGGAGCACATTACATATTGGATTAAAGTTGAGGGATCATCGTGTAATTTTCTCCTTTTTTTTTTGTTTTTTTTTTTGTGGGTTTAAGTGCTTCAATAAGCTCGCCCTACCAGCTAAAGCTTGTATAGCCAGTTAGCCACCAAGCCGAGGCCTACTCTCACATTTCGAAACCCAATATAGTCAAACATCTATTCAATATTAATGAATTTACCTTACCTGTCTCGAAAGATTCTTGCATAAATGCTCAACCGTCTGATTGATTCATTCGCACCACCATTGCAACACAACCCAACCCAACACGGCACAACGCAATCAAGAAGAAGAAAGAAGAAGAAGAAGAGGAAGAAGGAAGAAGAAGAAGGAAGGAAGCCAAAGAGAAGAGCAGAGCCAAAAAAAAATGGAGAAACAGCTGAGAGAAGAAGAAGAACAGTGCAGCAGCCCGAGGAAGGTGAAGGCCCAGTGCATCCCCCGCCTGAGAGCCCCCGTGGCCAACTCCTCATCCTGCTCCGCCCGGAGCCACCGGTTCGCCCCCTCGTCCCTGCTCGAGCGCTGCCGCGAGGCGGTGTTCCGCCTCATGATGCTGTCCGCCCTCTCCAGGCCGTCGTCGTCCCCGCCGCCCCCGCCCCCTCCGCCGCCGTCCTCGTCGCAGCGCCGCCCGTACTACCCCGTGAACGAACCGCACCACAGCGAGGCCCTCGCGGACTGCATCGAGTTCATCAACAGGAAGAAGAAGGCTTCGGACACCGACGCCGACGCCGACGCCACTACCGCCGTCTCCGGCGGGCCCTTGGACGCTCCGGCTGAGATGGTCATGCCGGTGCCGGTCATGTGATCCGGGACGTATAGTTTCTCTTGCAGTGTACATTGATTTGTGTATGAAAAAAAAAATTCCTACAGCTCATCTTACAAGGGACTTAAAAAGAAAACCTTTGACGTACCTTTTTTTATGTCGTTTTGTTTCTACGAGGATTTCGAGTAACATGTCCGGTGATCTGTCTGTATATCGGTCTCCATCCTTGTAAATGATCGAAGGTGGAGGACGGAGTTGCTCGGTCCTTTTCAGCTCTCTTTACCAAGTTTTCTCATGCAATCGAACTTATGGTGCGTTTTGAGATGATACTTGCAAAGCCTTTCGAAGCTATAAAGCTGTAAGACCCATGTACAGGGTCGAGTGCCAGATGGGTCGAGTTCCGGCGTCCGAAGCACCGGTGAAGGGCGGCTTCAATTATAACGGTTCTAAGGTAGCGAAATTCCTAGTCGGGTAAGTTTCGATCCGCACGAAAAACAACAACAACTGCTGAAATATGGTCGAAAGAAGAAATCTCTTCTCGACGAGACTTCTTTCTACATCAAGGAATTCCATTGTTGGCAAGACAATTTCCTTGTTTTTTTTCTTTCCCTATAAACCGGACTAAAGTGAAGTAAAAGAAATCAACCATGGTTGGATACATAAATTCGACCATCAGCTGTTGGACCGGCCCGGCCCGGTCCGTTCTGGACATGAACATGAATTTCGCTCTTCTACGAAAGCTCTGGCGATCCTCTCCTCCGCCCCTCAACGCCACCAACCCTCTCGCCCTACACAGCAGAACCATCGGATCTCTCTCCATCGGAAACTACCCCTGCGATAATCGACATGGGCGGTATGTCGTGATGAGCACTTGCTCGAAGATTTTCGCCTCGCCCTCGCCTCGCTTCTTCTTCTTCTTCTTTGGTTTTCTGTTTTCGGTGGCTGTTTCGATCGAATTTCTTTGCTTCTCTCTCTGTCGCTCGCTCAGTCCCGGTTCTTCCTTGCAGGGGTGCAAGCCGAGAGAGAAGACAAGGACAGGGTCTCTCTGGAGCTCACCGAGGAGATTCTCCAGAGCATGGAAGTCGGCATGACGTTTAGAGACTATGTGAGCTGTTCTTGTTTCCAGTCCAGTCTAAGCTTCGACTTTTGTTACGATCGAATTGTACCGCACTTGTTGTAATTCAGTCGAATTGCACGAATACCCACTTCGTTATCGGCTGCGAGAAGCTCTTGTCGCCTCGAAATGGGGCATTTTGTTGTGGAATTATCATTGGGTGGTGTTGCATATTTTTCGAAACAAAGACAGGGGTTTTCTTTTACATGAATTGCACAAACACCCGCTTCGTTATCGGCACCGAGAAGCTCTTGTCTTCTTGAAATGGGGCATTTTGTTGCGGAATTTTCATTGGGTGTTGTTGCATACTTTTTGAAACAAAGACGGTGGTTTTCTTTTACATGCTTTTATGTGGAAATTGGGATTTTTGTGCCTTCCTTGGTGACTTTGGTCCGAGTTTGAAGCCCTAGTTTTAACATTTGTCGGCACTGTCTTATTCTCGCGGATGTTGCTTTCTTGGATTGCTAATGGTTTCGCTCTCGATGTAATTGCTCTTTGCAGAGTGGTAGAATCAGTTCCATGGATTTTCACCGGGCGTCGAGCTATCTGGTGACAGCCAGCGACGATGAGTCTATTCGCCTTTACGATGTGGCCAGCGCAACGTAAGCTCTTTCTTTATCTGGTTTCTTAGTCAGAATCGAGTTTGATCCGTGAGTTGGTTCGTCCATAATGATATTCAACATAAGAGCCGCTCAATGTTTCCGTTATCAAGTTTTTTATTGCATTTTGGTCGAGCGAGGTTGTTTTGAGTTATCTGTCATTACCAACTTTAGATTTCTTCTGTTGCTTGCGCAGCACTCAGCACAAGTACACGCATGCTCAATAAATTGTCCAGAGCATGAAATCTATATCAGTGACTTTGGCTAGGAGTATTGAGAGTTGGAGAAGAAATTAAGAGATATCTAGTTGCATTTCTCTTCGCATCCTGTCTACTGTAATATTCACGTGCAAGTACCATTCAGCTTTTTGCTTGTTGTGTATTGGGCATTTAGAAGCAGTGATGCCCTTTATTTTTCTTGTCCGAGTCTGATTCTCATACATTTTAGTATTGTAATATATTAAACTCTTAAATAGAGTAACCACTTAAACTTGAGGAATATTGTCATCTCCAGATGTCTGAAGACAATTAATAGCAAAAAGTATGGGGTTGATCTGGTCTCATTCACTTCTCATCCGACGACTGTTATATACTCCTCAAAGAATGGTTGGGATGGTATGTCCTCAGAACAATGGGAATGTTATATTTGTTCCAGAATCGCATGCTTACATTTCAATCTTCACAGAATCACTGAGGCTATTATCCTTGCATGACAACAAATACCTGCGCTACTTTAAAGGTCACCATGACAGGTTTGAATATGAGACTAGTGGTTCTATAGAAAGTGACTGCTTCTGCATATGTTATGTCTAAGAGCAGTGTTGTTATCTTTTTATTCAGGGTTGTCTCCCTTAGCTTGTGCCCGCGCAATGAATGCTTTATCTCTGGTTCACTGGATCGCACTGTTTTACTCTGGGATCAACGAGCTGAGAAGTGTCAGGTGGATTCATTGTGTCACTTCTAATTTTTTTCCTCTTTAAATGAACTCAATCGCTGAAATGCTATCTGCACTTATAGGGTCTTTTACGTGTACAAGGAAGGCCTGCCACAGCTTATGATGATCCAGGCCTGGTGTTTGCAATTGCTTTTGGAGGATGCGTTAGAATGTTTGATGCTCGCAAATATGAAAAAGTAAGTATTCTGTGCAGAATTATGCATATTAATCTTCCTCAATGCCCTAAATCTCGGGGTTACCAAGCACTTATGCAGAAACTGATTGTGTTGATATTTGAAAAATTAGGGTCCTTTTGACATCTTCTCTGTTGGGGGAGATGTGTCCGATGCAAACGTTGTTAAGTTTAGCAATGATGGAAGGCTTATGCTTTTGACTACTACGGATGGGCATATATATGTTCTTGACTCATTCCGAGGCACACTGGTTAGAGTTTTCTCAAATCAGTTATAAGACTAATTTATTTTCTTGTTCTTTAAAGTCTGTTCATATCTGTCCTCATTTGGTTAATTTCAAACAGTTATCCACTTTCAATGTCAAGCCTACATCAAGCAAGTCCACCTTGGAGGCATCTTTTAGCCCTGAAGGAATGTTTGTCATGTCTGGTAAACTGTTCATCTTTGCTAGGGTCACCTTTGCATGTTGTGGTGGTTCCAATACTGAATCCCGGTTATTTAAGAGTGTCCACAGGAATCATTTCCATGCCGAACTCTAATTGCTAGTCACTTTTCTTAAGACTCATGTTTTTTTTTCCCGGCCTTAACCCCTATCATATTTGGTGTAGTCTGTCCAACTGTTGGGTTTTGATTCGTTTTCCTTTTTGGGGACCCAAGTACGAATGATTATACCTTTATTTGCACGCAGTTGAATCCCAGATTAACTTTTAGGGGGCCTAGATGGTATGCTGGTCTATGGACACTTGGAATAACTCATTAAAATGGAAAGAATCGCATGAGGAGCCTCTAATTTTCTTGTTCTTACTTAACTACTGTTTGCCACTTCTTCAAGTGACTTGACTTGTATATATAGTAGCCTTGCTCTTTCTGTCCTGTTGCTTCCATAGAAAATTTATTTTGCCTTGCTTACATTGAAATGACTGCTCAATTGGCAGGTTCCGGAGATGGCAGTGTCTATGCGTGGAGCGTAAGGAGCGGAAAAGAGGTATTTCTTGGTGTTGATTCTGTTGGATATTTCAATTGTATCTTTGTTGGGGTCATTACTCGTGGAGATGAGGGGTTCCAATTCTGGTCTCTAGCCATTGGACGCTTAAGATGCATGGTTTCCTAGTGCCATGTTCATGATGTTCTGTTGCCTTGACATAGAACATTTGCTTTATATCCTCTCTATGGTGTCATTTGTTCCATTTGGCTAGCGACTCTTCGAAGGAAAACATGTAGCTGCTTAAAGTTTGAATTTACTTTTTCACTAAGATAGCACTGCATGCCACATCTTCATCGGTATATATGTGAACTATATTTTGTGCAATACTGTTGATAGGCCCGGTGAACTGATTTTCCCTTTGTTTAGGTTGCAAGCTGGGTAAGTACCGACACCGAGCCTCCTGTGATTAAATGGGCCCCAGGAAGCCTCATGTTCGCCACAGGATCGTCCGAATTATCATTCTGGGTTCCCGATCTCTCTAAATTGGGAGCTTATGTTGGAAGAAAGTAGAAGGGTGATTGTCAGGATCATCATTGCTCAGACGCGATTCTGACTTATTTGGAAAGAGTTTAAGATGCCGACTTATCCAGAAAAAAAGATGTTTATACTCATAAACAACAGACAGACAACTGTACAGGTGTTGTAGACATTCCCAATGTGAGGGTAATTTTGGCCTTCACTTCACTGCCCTGTAAATAGTTAGATAGTTAGGTCGTCACTTGTTTGATAGGAAACTGGAATTTTGAATCTCCTCTTCCAGCCAACAAGTCTGCTGTTATCAAAAGTTTCTCTGACCTTTCCGATATAATTTTGTGAGACTTGGAATCACATTCTTTGGGAAAACTGTTCTTCTTGATCTGCGGAACACCTCTGGAGCTTACTATATGGTTCATGGTCTTCTTTCGAAAACTCCACTCTTGCTGGCTTTGATGTCAAAGCGTGCGAGTATTCGTATCTGATGTTGTTCTGTATCAGCAGAATTCTAAAGGTCTGATTTTTCACGGTAGATTTTCAACTGTGTTAATGGCTTTGTGTTGGTAACTTTCACTATCGTGCATTAGTAACTTTTCAAACTGTGTTGAAAAATGTGACAGCTTAGTAGAATTGTTCTCCATATTTTGTCGGAATTAATGTATTTTCAAGGGTGTCCTGCAGAGTTGGTGGACTCAAACTCAAAAAGAAAAAAAGAAAAATTGAAGGATAAATAAGAAGGATAAATGCATCGAATCCATCCACTCATTTTCCCTCCCTTGACAAGTCATGGAGGCTGGCATACTCCATTCCCTCGCTCCTAGTCCGAAGCCGTCCATCTTCGCCTTCACAACCGCCACCTCGTCTCCTCCCCTCCTCCTCTTCCGCCGGCGCCTCCGCCAGCGTCCCCTCGCCACCGTCACGGACAGCGCCTCCGGAGGCTCCGGGGACGGCGAGCGGGGCACCCCCGCGCCGCCGGCAGTGCCCCCGGACGAGGTGGAGGTACGGTTCCGGAGGGCGTCGAGGAGGAGGAGGAGGCAGCCGAGGGGGGACGAAGCGGTGACGGTGGCAGCGAAGGAGAGGGCGGCGCCGCCGCCAAAGAAGTGGGAGGAGATGAGCGTGGCAGAGAAGGCGGTGGAGCTGTACGTGGGGGAGAAAGGGCTGCTGTTCTGGCTCAACAAGTTCGCCTACGCCTCGATCTTCATTGTGATCGGAGCTTGGATCCTCTTCAGGTTCGTCGGGCCGGCGCTCAACCTGTACCAGCTGGACACTCCTCTCTTGGCGCCGACGTCCCTGCTCAAGGGCTGATTGTATCCAAAATTCACACTGGTTTCTGCTCCCGAGGAGAAACAGATTTGAGTCCTCCCTTTCTCTCTTGCTCCCCCTTTTCTGGGTGTTTCCAGTTCGGCACTTGTTGGTCTAGAGTAGAGATGTTTATAGCTACGCAATGCCAAATTCTTGTGTGCTGCTATAATTTGGATGAAGGTCCTAAAGTATAGATTGAGATCAGCTCATACTTGTGCCGAATGCATTGGACTCGAAACCCGTAATTCATCTAGACGGGTTGAGAACTCGATTAATCCCGACAACCAATTACCGTATTTCGGAATCAAGTTGTGCAACTTTGACAGTACCAAGCAGATAGATCAACTGAACTCAATTTCTGAATCCATGTCATGAGAAAGGCTTCACTGAGTACTCTAGCACTAACCACATCCTGGGTTACTACTGTACTTGCTACTGCACAGTTAAATACCCATCCTTCTGAGCAGGATCTATCTATTGACGGGTTGCTCAGTAGCTAGAATTGATCATTCGAGCATCACAAACAAAAGCGGCGATTACAACACCGACACGGACAGGATATACCGTTTTTCCTCAGCCCATGTGAACTCGAGTTGGTGGCGGACTGTACAGTTCTCATGCCTGAGAAAATGTCGAACTGTCCCAAAAAATTCTGTAGCATCTTATCATTAGAAGCATGGCCTTCACCACGGCAAATGCTTCTCCACCCTTTAACGGCACGAACATCTTCCTCCATGTCGGGTTCTGAAACAAGCCCACGGCACCTCGTGCACAAGTTCAGTGGGAAGGCGCCTGCAGGGTTTCATCCTTTTTGTCGATCACTGTAAACTTTCGGGAATTGCATCTTGATAGCGATTCATATTTCAAGCCTCTGGCATTCCCTCTCCTTTCAAATCCTCAGCACCCTTGTTCGATTTCTAGTGAGGTCCTATTACCACGAATTGCACTGACCAATGGTCCTTGCATCCATCCGAAACTTCGGAACTAGTGCACGAGCGCGAACGCCTGACCGGGGTCGTTAGACACTCCATGTTGGCATTCAGTTCTCCAAGGACAATGCGCTGCTTATAGTAGTAAATCGGACAGCCCCAGTTCTCATATGGCTAAACCTCGAAATGCACCTACGAGTTCCCCTAGTATCAGCTCAACTCGAACAATAACCAGAAAGCAAAGTCGCATTAATGTATGGAACCAACGAGCTTCACCTTCACACATTTTTCGGAAGTCGCGAAATCGATGCCTACCTCCTTACGACCACCATACTTGTAAACCCTCTTCACTATTCCATATCTTTCCCTCGACATGGCGAGGTGTTTCCTGAGCTTGAGCTTCTTGTGCTCGGCACACTTCTGCCGGGTCAATTCTTCACACACGGTCCAATGAGTCCTCATCAAGATCAAGGTGCTCCCGCATTGGGATGATTTTCCATTTCCGCAATTAACGGATTCAGAAATGTTCTCTCCAAACGGCTCGGCCAATTTGGGCTCCACCACACGTCCTCTTGACTGATCCGATTCTTCGCAGAGCTGGTCATCCTTACATTAGTCATAAGGTAAATGAGGCATCATCAGAATCGAACATAATATTCGGTGTCTATAACCCCTTTCACTGTGACTACTGACCAGAATTCAAGATGAAGCACTCAACAGATTGATAATTGTCATCTCTCTGTTCCATCGAGATTAACCTTTTACCCTCTGCGCGGCGAACCGCCAAGCCACGTAAGGCAGGAATTCAGCACGCCCAATTTGCTGACTTTCGGAGGCGGTGTTGTTTTACTGCTTTCACCTTCTTTTGTTGCTTCAAGTAGAGTCGAACTTCATATTATCACGGTTTAACCACCCATTTTCTTCACGAATTTGAGTGTACGTAAGGATTGGTCCCTAGAAACATTAGCTTTCTCAAATTTAGGGGACTGCAGCAATGTGTACGAAGAGCATGTCTGTTCTATTTATGATGCTGAGGCCTTCATTTGACACGCAGAGAAATGTCCAGCAAGTAATTCACCGCTTTTTGTCCCCGCCAATCTCCAGTTTATAACCGATTTCATTGGTTGCTGCTCGTTCTGATACGTACATCGATGAAATAAAACGGATTGAGAATCATATGGACAATCCTCAAGTGCTTCCTATATTAGAATGCTCAGGTCTAGTTGATGGAATACCCAGTGCTTCCTGTACCGGAATGCCCTTCCGTTCTGTACTTTGTAGCATGGACTCAGGACAAACAACTCCATTTGGAGTTCTGAGATGGTGTCATTTAGAAGACGATAAAAATTGCCAGATCGATAAAGAAAAATTCAGCAAAACATTGGCTCGACTAAGTTTCAGATTCCTGGAATCGAAATCGCGCTCGAACATAGGCATGTCGAATGGATTTCTGTATCTGACTAATCATGAGAAGGACCAAGAAGGGACAAGTCTTCCGAGACTTGTAAACACCAAAAAAACTTCAATGCTCCTGACAGCAAAAGAATAGAATACCCTGAATCTTTCTTCTCCAAGTAAAGTTATGAATATCAACAGAACAGTGCAAGATCGGGCACTAGTCTATGGCACAGTTATTGATATTATCTTTGACATTAGTCACGATTCATGACTGCCGCCTTGATCCATGCTTGTCCAATGCGCATTATCCGTAGACAACCGTAGATTATTTTTTCACGACCCGCTTTTGTTTTTGCTTTCATAGAAACTGATCCTGCACGCGCCTTACCATTGAGGTATTGCGCACTTGAGTCGGCTAGCATGCTACTCGTGATCAAGAACAGTATACTACCCACCGCACGGTCCATTGAATTGGGTCGACGGTCCATGTAAATTCGCGACAGCATTTCAGAATTTGAATCCTTTCTATCCTACATCAACCTTTCTACAAAAAGTTCACATCTTGAATATTTATTTTCAACACACATATATTTATACCATTTCTTTGAGCATTTTCCCATTTTACACTCAACTTCGGTCAATCTCAATTCAACCCTCTCGCTATTAGACAGACTGACAAACGTCATGAAAAAGTCAACACTCTCGAACATACATAGATCCAATTAGAAAACAATTGTTATTTCTTTTTCCATCTTTTGTTATTTGGTTAGCGGAGATTTCTTTTATTATGCATCGAGACAGAAGTGGTCATTCCAATTATACCTCGTATTATTTTCATCGACACGATATTACCAAATCGGACGGGTCGCACCATGATCATTAATTTGTTTCTGAAAGTACAATTGAAATAATATTATCTCGACACGTGACGTTATTAACAACGGAGCTGTGGTTTAACTTTTAGATGAAGTTAAAAAAAAATTAGATCCACGTGGCACTCAGACTAATCGTGATTTTTTCTCAGCAATCACTGCCGTCAGCTGCTTCCAACAAGAAAAATGAAGCAGACCCCTGCCGTTCTTGTTCTGGCATGATCTGCAGCCATAGCACTTGTCTCCGATTCCATGGTGGCATCCCTCTTCGGCCAGATCATGACCCTCCTTCCCACGTAGACTTAAATTTTAACGGTTCAACGCATTCCAAATATAGGTAACGACGAATGAGCGAATCTATCACGTAAACATTGGTACAGAAGAGGACCACAGTTTCAACTTGTCTCAGTTGATCTCTTCTCTGCCAGTCTTTGATCAGCTGAAAGCCCACCAATTTCAACTGGTTCTTGGTTATGTCTTGAGTTCACAATGCGACGAATTCGAGGAAAATCGAATACTCTGATGGGAAGAACGAGTGGCACTTAATTAAAACATGAGGACTGAGCACCAGAAAAATGGAAAAATGGTCTTCTCCCCCCCTTTTGCCGTGTTCTTTGAAGCAGAATGAGTTCTGAGGATTGGAGATGGAGACTAAGATGGCTGGCGATGGAAAAAAGTCCAAGGGATGGTTTTGGTGGGTTTTGGTGACTGTCATCGGAGTTCTTGTGATCACGGCGGCCACACTCACCATTCTGAGGGATTTTCGTTCCAAGGCACCGAAAGTCCATAGCCACCACGGTCCGGTCGTGCAGAAATATGCAGACGCTCTGGGAATCGCTGTGCAGTTCTTCGATGTTCAAAAATGTCCGTCCACGTGCCCTTCTCAAAAGAAAAAAAAAATAGCAGATGTAGTTCACTGTCCATGTTGTCGATGCGGATGGGCGATAGGCTTGGCATGAATTCAAACATAGGGTTGTAAATGTTTAGGCAATCATATCCGGCTTTTCGCCCTCTGCGGATAATAAAAGTCTGATTAATAGTTTGCAAAATGTTGAGAAAGGAGATTAGCAATTCTTCTCTGTGAATTTCTTCTTCATATTGGGATATTTTTCTGAGTTGAGACTTAAAAGAGATTATGACTTATCCGTGCAATATGTTCCTGCAGCTGGTAAGTTGGTGAATAACAGGATTTCTTGGAGGGGCGATTCAGGGCTTATGGATGGTAGCGAAGAAGGCTTAGACTTATCGAAAGGAATGTATGATGCAGGGGACTCGATAAAGTTCGGTTTCCCCATGGCTTTCACTGCGACAATGCTATCGTGGGCGATTCTTGAGTATGGAGATCAGATGAATGCGGTGAAGCAGTTGAGACAAGCACAGGACTCGCTCAAATGGATCACTGATTATCTCATCAATGCCCATCCTTCACCAAATGTGTTCTATATTCAGGCAAGCCTTGTTCTTAAGCCTATACTAAACGTTATAAAGTAGCTTCTCTTGAATTTTTGCTTAAAGAGTACTTGTGCTTCCATTTCACGACTTCTCAGATGATTTTATGAGAGAATCAAGCGGATGATGATATGGTCATTAATATCTGTCATCGATTGCCTTCTATCAAACAACAAAGCCTATCTTGCTTCCTTTCCCTGATTCTGTTTTCTAGCCAATTTTGTGCCGCAACATGAACATGTTGCAGGCGATTGTAAACATGACTGATGAGCCAGTTTGAATTGCCAATAGGAGCTGAGATTCTCATTTCAGTATCACTGGGACGTTCATTCTCAACCACCTAATTGGCCAGTCTATTATGAGCATTCAAAGGAGAAGCGCCTGCTTGTTTACGATTTCGATTCTTCCTTTTGCTTTAATATTTATATCTTGTGTCGTTCTTGAAGGTGGGTGATCCCGACTTGGACCACAAGTGTTGGCAAAGGCCCGAATCCATGACCTTGCAAAGGCCCCTTACTCAAGTGAACACATCGTCTCCAGGAACAGAGGTTGCGGCAGAAACTGCCGCTGCAATGGCGTCGGCTTCTTTGGTCTTCAAGAAGATCAACTCCACTTATTCGAGTTCGCTGCTGATGCATGCACATCAGCTATTTGCTTTTGCTGATACCTATCGGGGTTCCTATAGCGTCACGGACCCCAGTGGGCAAAGATTCTACAATTCTTCGGGCTACGGAGATGAATTGCTTTGGGCAGCTAGCTGGCTCTACCTTGCGTCTGCCGACAGATCGTACCTAAGATATGTAACAATTGACCACGGACAGGAATTTGGTAATTGGAGACGACCAAGCTGGATTAGTTGGAATGACAAACTTCCAGGAGTCCAGGTACATGTCATGATCCTCTTTTTTCTTTTACCTCATGGAAAGTGGCTAAATCGTGTTTGTAGTTTGTACCTGTTTGTCAAGCTGGAATTTCATAACTTGAGAGGGATGAATCTTTCCCGTATGGAAAACAAGACATGACTCTTCGTGATCTTCAAGCAGGTGTTACTATCACGCGTAGATTTCTTCGGAGCGAGCGAAGTTCCGATCTCTGAGAATCTCGCGCTCCAGATGTACAGGGAAACTGCCGAGATGATGATGTGTAGCCTTCTGCCTGATTCACCTACTGCCACATCAAGCAGAACAGAAAGTAAGCGCCTGAACATGAACAAAACAAAAATTTCCTAGTCACAATTTATCTGGATAGCCCTCTGACACTGAGATTTTGTCTTATGAAATTTTGGGCTAGTTTTTTTTTTTGAAGCAAAAGGTGACTTCAACAAGATCCAGATTTGTCCTGCCTTTGGTTTTTTTAGATATGACTAATGAGATTGTCCTGTGATCCAGGTGGGCTGATTTGGGTGACTGAATGGAACTCACTGCTGCATTCTGTGGGTGCTGCATTTCTAGCCGTCCTTTACAGCGATTACATGCTCACTTCCGGTACCGCCGCCTTGTATTGCAGCGGGAGATCCTATAGACCAGGCGATCTTCGTGATTTTGCGACTTCGCAGGTGCACTTTGATGCTGGAAAGTGCATTCGTTGGATGGTTGGCTAAGACTTGTGGGGTGTCAAACATTGATATCCAGGATTAGTGATCCTGAGTTCTCAATTCATGAAGCGCTTAATCCGACATTGGCATCCTTGTTTCTTTGCTTCTTTGCAAGACTTCTTCATGAACCTGTTCAATGCTGTTGAAGAAGATACTTCTAGTCGATATAAACCATAATCATCATAGTAACTATTTCAATGTGAATCATGCTCATTTTAACCACTCCTTGTTCTCGTTTCAAATTTTCTCAGGTGGATTATGTATTGGGTGAAAACCCGATGAAGCTGAGCTATCTAGTCGGGTTTGGGGAAAACTACCCTCGGTATGTACACCACCGAGGGTCTTCCATCCCCGTCGATGCGACTACCGGGTGCAAAGACGGGTTTAAGTGGCTCAACTCCTCCGCTCCCAACCCGAACATAGCGGTTGGAGCGCTTGTCGGCGGGCCCTTCCAGAACGAGACGTACAGAGACTCTCGTAACAACTCGATGCAAGGCGAGCCAAGCACTTACAATAGCGCGCTCATAGTCGGCGTCCTCTCGGGTTTGGTCACCAGCTCTTCAGTGGCGAAATCTTTCCTATAGGGTTGGCAAATCCTTGTACAAATCCGGAGACGTCCATGTAGTACTATTCGTTAGGATCTACCTTTCAAATAGGAGTTAGAAGGCATCCCCTAGCACTTTGCAAGAGTGATAAGCTTTTTGCCAGCTTCTCTTGAAATTAGACTGAAGGCTTCTCCAGTTTGCTTTGCTGCTTTTGCTTTGCCGCTATTGAACATCCGGACATCTGTACCCATTTCAATCATGTGTAAAGAGACTCTTCTTGACTAAAATGGGTCAGTTTCAGAATGTATCAGGTCTTTGTGAAGTTTCAGATTGCTTTCGTTTGCTTGTTTGATGCTTAGCTCATGACTTTTCAAAATTCAATCATCGTTTTCCTCAAAATATCGGCCTAATGTCAGAACTGAATATCTATAAATGCATCGAGATTTGATCGGCACTTTGAAAAATGTTTTGATTTAGCAAATGAACTCCGATTCTAATGAAATTTGAACGAATGGAAAGTTCTGGATGTTCTCTACTATTTTTATGATTTATGACTTTCCCTAATTTCGATAGCACGATTTTCAAATTTTCAATTTACCGAGATGTATACGGTTAGGGATTCAGGATCTCAAGAACAGATTCAATTTCAATTTTTTTCAGGTTCTGAATTCATATATATATATATATTACTAATTGATTTTGCCTGGCAAACGACGCATCATATTCTAGAAGATGGAATTAATCATAGTCGAAAACTGAGATTATCGAATAGCATCACTATTCGATTTAAAGACATGGGCAGATCATATCTTTACAACAGGACCACAGAGACGGATTTAATCTGATGCACGAAAGCCAACTCGGGAAATTACCCGACTCTTACCCCCAAAAAGAAAATGAAGAAGAGAGAAACTTTGTTAATTTCCGAATGTGGGTATTAAATGAAAATCAATATGAAGTTTTTAGGGGTTAATTGTTCTATAAGAAAGAAAAAATCGGAATAAAAGAAGCAAAAAAAAGAGAGAAAAAAGAAAAAACGAAAGCAAACGCAACGGCCAAAAAAGGGAGAGCCGGAAGGAATTGAGCCCCGTTTAAAACCCTAAATTCCCAAATTCCCGCTCGAGACAGAATTACGCTCGTTCGTCGGAATCCTCCGGCGCGATCGGAATTTCGGTTCAGAATCACCGGAGAGAGAGCGATGTCCTCGAGGAAACAGGGCGACAGCCAGCCCTCCGAAGACGGCGGCACCGCCGGCGTGAAGCGCATCAAGATCACGAAGTCCTCCGAAGATCCCGAGAAGAAGGTGCCGATCCTCGTCGCCGTCTCTCTCTCTCTTTCGCAGTCTAGTTCAATCTTTCTGTGTAGTTTTGGTCTCCGGCAGCCGGAAGTTCAGGTCTCGCGACATCGCATGCGACCGTAGGTTTGTGTTCTCGCGTGGGGAAGTCTTGTGCATTCACCGGGGAGTGAGTGAAGTGATGGGGGGGGGGGGGGGGGGTCGGTTAGTGAAGGTGTTTTAGTTCTTAGATTTGCTCTGAGTGTTGTTGCTCCTGAGGTTTTGTTGCTAGGGCTTAAGCCGGAGGCTCAAGGACGCTGAAATTAGCTTGCCGATCGTGTACGGAACCATCGCGTTCTACCTCGGCAGAAAGGCCAGTGAGTAAGTATCGAATCTTTTTTCGTTTTTCGGGTTCGTGCTGTTGGCGGCGGCTTGACGTTGGCTGTATCATGTTGCCCCTGATGCGTTGGGAGTCACCGGTTGTTTTGTCTTCCCCGTGATAAGGTCCCAATCGCATAAGTGGACGGTGTATGTCCGCGGGGCGACTAATGAAGATCTCGGCGCGGTGGTCAAGCGAGTCGTGTTCCAATTGCATCCCAGTTTCAACAACCCTACGAGAGTTGTCGAGGCCCCGCCTTTCGAGTTGTCGGAATGTGGTTGGGGTGAATTTGAAATCGCCATTTCCCTTTTCTTTCACCCTGACGTTTGTGACAAGCAGTTGGATCTGTGAGTTCTGTGTGTGGTTCCTTCTTCAATTTCTCCTTGTGGGAGGCAGTTTTATTTACCTGTTGTTTCACTTGTAGTTATCACCATTTGAAGCTGTACCCGGAAGATGAGTCTGGTCCTCAATCAACCAAGAAACCAGTTGTTGTTGAATCTTATGATGAGGTTGTCTTTCCCGATCCTTCAGAGGCTTTCTATTGCCGGGTTCAGAATCATCCAGCTGTTATAGTGCCGCGGATGCCCGCCGGTTTTAACATTTCTGCTCCTGGTAAATCTTTATTCTTCTGTCTTCTGATTATCTATGCTTTCTCTTCGGATGTTTTGTTTATTCTATAGACCCTGCAGTACCCCTAGAAAACACTAATGAACGGGAGAGAGGCGATACTAAAGATCATCCTCTTAGTCAATGGTTCATGAATTTCTCAGAGGCAGACGAGCTACTGAAACTTGCTGCAGCTCGCCAGCAGGTCAGAAAGGCCTTATTTTGTTCTTGTTTGTCGTCATTCTTAACTTTCTTATGCTTTTTCTGAAGTTGTTGGGCATAGGCATCCACATGCATTTTGATAATCTTGTGATATTCAAAGGAATTAGGATTAGACTTCAGAGCTTTTACGTGTTGGCTTACATCTATGGTGTATCCAAGATATGAAATGGGGTGGGTGGTGTTGAGTCAAGCAATTTTGAACAAACACCGAAGGGACGAGATTTTGATGACAAATTTCATCGGCATATTTGAACAAACATCTGGCGAGAGGGACAGCTGCTGCCACCAGCTCCGCCCCGCTTCCTTCTTTCTCCCCCTCCATCTGCTTCCACATCCATGCAAATCTAAGTCTCAGTTTTCTACCACGCACGACCTGGATAATAATCTTTATTCTCTTGAACAAACATCTGGCAAGAGGGGCAGCTGCTGCCACCAGCTCCGACCCCCTTCCTTCTTTCTCCCCCTCCATCTGCTTCCACATCCACACAAATCTAAGTCTCAGTTTTCTACCACGCACAACCTGGATAATAATCTTTATTCTCATGTATTTGTTAAAACTGGAATTTTGGATAGTCTTTGATGTCACATGCAGTTGGAATTTGGAAATACTCATCTGTTCGGTTCTCAATAATGCATCCTTACTTCATCTTTGGTTGGGAAATAGGTTTAAAGGATGGGGAGTTGTGTTAAAAGTTAACATTGTTTAAACATGATTTGCTTTTAGGTGCAAGCTCATATTGTCAAGCTGAGGAGACAACTTAGTGTGATGGATGGGATGCCTCAACTGTCAAAGCCACCCTCTGCTTACGAGTAAATATGTCATGTGAGACTTCTGAAGTTTCTCCTTCAGCTTTCTCATGCAGGAACTGATAGATTATGTCGGATAGTGGAGTGGCGTATATTGTGAAACATTCTCCTTTTGTTGAGTATATACTCCTGCAAGAGTTTTCTGCATGGTAGTTCAGAATTTAAGAATATGATGGAAAAAGGGTCAAACAATATCTTAGTGAAGTATCTGACTGAATGAGGAACAAAGAAATAATTCTCACTATTTTTATTCCTTTTTCTACTTCTTCCGAGTGCATGTCGGTTGGGGATACACTGACCAGTAGAAATTAACTGGTTGGAAGCTCGATATCAATCTCCATTTACAGCTCTTTGATAATGTCTGCAATGTGGAACTGAATGCAGAGTAGAGATGCATTTTTCGCCATGTCTGGTAATTCTTACATTACTCATTCTTATAAGAAGTAAATATTATTTCACAGGGTTACAAAATGAGTCAATTTTCTGGAGTCTATTGAACTTACCAAACAAAATTTAGAATGACCAAGTTAAATGCTTAGTGTTTCCAACTTTAGCCATGGAATCAGTGTACTCATCATCCTTGGTCTATTGGGAATCCAATCTGGATTATAATTAGGAACGTCGTCTATGGGGCATCCGTCCTAATCGTGCCTCTTCCCTATATACCTAAGTAAATTTTTCGTATGCTATACTTCGTGGAATGATAGTAAAAAATTGTGATTACCTATAGGCATGGCTTCTTTGTCATTGGCCAATAATCACGAAGAGAAATAGAGCCAGTTGTAAGTCAGAACAGCTATTCCGGAAGTTCAGAAAAGTTCATGAAGACAGCTAAAATATATGAGAGATATTGACGAGGGAAATGTAATTACTTGTTACGTACAATTTTCAATGATTGGGGAGCCTTTTGTTAATTTATTGAAATGAACGCTGTAATGGATTTCACATCTTTTAGTTTCTTGGAATGCTTGTTCTCTTTCCAAATAGTTGGTAACTATTCATAGAGATGATCTACGAAAATAGATGGAGCTTGAATTTATGAGGAGAATTTCTTGGAGGAAGAAGCTTTTGCTCTAATGGTAAGTTTCAGGTATTCAGTTTTCGTGTGAAGTGTCCATCTATTATCTAAGTAAGAAGATTGTGGGAATCACTAGTTCTTAGCTTCATGCTATCTCAGTAATTGTGTTTTAGTACCAAGATGGCTTGCGCATGTCCATGTATTCAACTTTGGCATTGTATGCTTCATATACGTTTGCAATATTTAATTATCACAAAGCACATCTTGTAGCCATCAACGCACGAAGAAAAGTAGGAATCAGTCTTATTTCAGATAGTTTCAGAATGCCAGTCGTTCTTCTTCTCTTGAGGATTCCTCATTTTCCTCCATTTTGTATCTTTTTTATTTATTGCAGCTTGCCACATAGGAATCTTTTCGAAGGAAGCTTAACTCCATTAAAGAAATTCTTGGGTGGGTGGTTGTTCTACTTTACTATCCCAGGTAGCTGATGTCTTTAACTTGGGTTGATCTGATGTGACTTCCAATAATTTTGGGAACCATTTGTCGGAGCATTTAACTAGTAAATCACGACTTTACCTATCAGTTTAAACTTATATGTTGGAAATTCTACATCAAAGTACGAGGTCCTAAGTTCAAATTTTCCTAGCCTCTAATTTGTCTCTACAATTATATATCCTCACACTTTAGTCTTGGGCCAAATCCAAGCCGGCGGAGCATTTATATCAAACCACGTCTTCATCTGATAAAGTCCACTTATATAACAAATGGTAGCGGTCTCACAAACTTTTTAACTGTTGAACGGAAAGCAATGCCCTTAAACTGAGATTCTGCATTGCTCACAAAAAAATTAGGTCCAAGTGTGATAGATATTTCTGGGATTCTGCTGCTTCATTCCATCTAGCATTTCCCTATATGGTTGTTATTAAGAGCAACAAATTATGCAAATGCATATGGTGGCAGATTTCCTAGGATAGCTGTTGTTATTATAACTGGTGATTACTTTTAATGTATCTTCTGGTCATAATCTAGTTTTCAAGCAGATAATCACCATATATATAGTTATTGGGGAGTCTAATTAATGTTCACTTTTACGTGGCCGTAGGACAATTTAGGAATCTAATGTTCGCATTTTCTACAATAACTCCAACTTGTCTTAGATGCTAAAATACTGTGTCAAACTCTTAATTTGTTAATCCTTTAAAAACTCTTTGAGTCATTTGGGTGACTATGGTTCTGTATTTGCAACCATTGACGTGTCTATGTCATTTATGACATCATGTTTGTTGATATTTTTTATTTGTTCATATCCTGCGTAGCTTATTTTACGGGGATAAGATGTTGGAAGCAAGATACACAAGTTTTAATTCTTTCCCCGATGAATTGTAAGAAGACGTGGCCGAAGTTTTGTCTTTTTATTGTACTTAGAAGACAAGAGTAACATGGTCATCACATGTTTCTATTCCAGGTCTCATCATCTCTTCAGAATTGTTGAATCGTTAATTTGCAGATATTTTTCGTTCCGGAAATGACAAGGATAGGTTATCCTGTACATCTTGTCCTCGTTTATGTTACCTATTTTTCCTTCATAGAACATGGGCAGCTGCCTCTGCAGACAACAACCTGCTGGCTTCCAATATTCTCATTGTGTTTGGCTTGATTGATGTTCCTTACTCAAAAAGTTTGTATTAGCATCACAATTGTGTGAAACATTGTTTTTTAAGTTGATTTGGCATGTTCTGCGAGGACTCGGTAGTTATGTCCAAAATTTGGTTTGTGTTTAGTACTCACTCTTGTTGTGGTTTTTGTTTACTTGCTTTTTCATTAAAAGCAAAAAAGAAAAGCTCTCTGGGCCTCTCACCTCTTTTCCACCGAGTATAAGTGGTGCTTGACTTTATCAGGAATTTTACACGTCCTTAAAGTCCTATACTGTGTGATTGTCGTGGCTTGGATTTGGCAGGACCATGTGGGTGGGTGGTTCTTTAATGCAGAAACAGTCGCCATAACTAACTGGAGAGCGTGAAAAACTTGTGCTGCATTGTATCTGAATGCCCCGATGATTCAAGCATGCATCACGCCCTTTTGTACCTTGTTACCTGGGGGTCCTCCTGAGATGATGAGCTTGCTCCTGGTTGTTTTCTTTTGTTTTGACATCTTACGGACTTGTATTCTCGTATGATGGAGGCTTTTTTAGCTTTTCCATGTGCATTTGGTGCACAAGGTCCACAGGGGTTATTTTTTTTCCCTCCTTCCCTTTGAGAAAAATTGTACCTTGAGATGGAGTAAATAGATGTCCATGGATGTTATATGTATCTAAGGCTTGAATCATTCCTTTGCTGTACTGAGACGTCCCCTTTATGAGGTAAATTTCTTGCTCTTGAAAAAGGACTCTTACCGTGGCTTTTGGTGGGGAACCTTGGGGGCAGCGTCTTTTAAGGATAGGTGGAGCCTGATAGACAAAAAACGAAAAATACGGTGGGTCAATGTATCAGCAACGATTTTTAAGCCGTCATCAACTAGATTGAAGTCTACTGCATTGACCCGGGACCGTTGTAGGGAAATGACGATGAGCCATATAGTTTCTCAGGTAAATTTACTCCGGAAGCTATGGGCCAGACACCAGAAGGTATGGTCCGCTGGCCGGATCCGTCTAGTATTCCTCCTATGTATATAGATGCGCAGGAGTACAAATAGAGGCATGGGGACGTCTTCATTTACAATGAGCAAGCTTGAGGCAATATTCGGGTAGCATCGACAGACTATTTTGTGAGAAAAATGAAGAACACATGCATGACTATTTTGTTGGAAAAGAAAACAACGACGACAACAGAAGTTGTACTCGAAATAACTCGAGTTTTGATATCTTAATTGACATCAGTATGCGGTAAAAACTAACATATGTTAGCGTTGTTTTGCCAATCTTCGGTCTCAAATGTCTAATTTCATCTGTCGAGCACTGAATTACCAGGAAGGATTCATGCTGAAGAGCTCAGTGAACGTAGAGATCGCCAGCTCAGCTTGCGAGGGTACCGATGGTAGACGAATTGCCATGAAGTGAAAATTTGTTTCGACTCTTTTATGTTAACCACGCAACGTAACCGATATTAATACGTACGACGGTGTTATCGTTCCACAACCAAATAAGTTCCTGCTCGGCGACGTACATGGTTTGCGGGACTGCAATGTCGCTTCAAGCAATTGCTCTTAATACTCAACCGAGTACACAGCCAAGTGCTATAAAAGCTTAACGGTTGAGAGGATGAGACGGGTTCTCTACCTTCGCCCCTTCCCTTGGACCGGGAGAAGACGAGGACTAAGATAAAAGGTTAGGGAATGTGAAAGTAAAGAACAGGGAGAAGATGACGAATCAGTCTCTATCTATCGTACTTCGGTGCCTGTTCTCCGTATTATTGGGACCTTTTGCCAACTCATTTGGACGTGCGACTTTATCGTAACAACTGGGTATTTGAACAGGAGGAGAGCTGAGATCAAAAGGTGCATATTCTTTTTGTTCCTTTCTCCTTACTGTTCGTTTCACTGGAATTACTCTCACGACGAAATATTTTTCATCGAAAGTCGTTTCTTAAGGTTTTTTTTTTTTTTTTCAAAGAGACAGATTATGCGTCAATTCTGAATAGGAAATATCCAGGCAAATGGAGAAATCAACAACTTTACTCTTGACGTAACTGCACAAATGCAAGTCGTACCGGAATTTATCGACGACAAGGTCTGGAAAGTACAGTTACTACTAATGAACCAGACGTAAACAAATTATGTCGGAATTTAATCGACGACGCGGAACTGGAAATTACAGTTAAGAAACATGTCGGAATTTAATCAACGACTTGAGTCTAGAAAGTTACCAAACTTTGTTTTTATCGATAAAGTCTATCACATGTCGATAATAGCCAAAATTGGTCATTTTTTTGGTGCAAACACCTTTGTTTTGTCTTCTTAGTTCTCTCAGGAGTCTTTGTTGTACATGTTCGGTTCTCGAAATGTGCTTCCCCACATAGATTACGGGCCAGTTTCCTAAGAACCCAATGCTTGTGAAACACAACTCAGCTAAGCCAACATGTCGAGCCAAGACCATCAAAACCTAACTAATCATAGCCTACAATGGTCGTGATACATACTTGGTTAATGTGAACTGGTCATGACCACTCTCTCTCTCTCTCTCTCTCTCTCTCTCTCTCTCTCTCTCTCTCTCTCTGCTCAAGGCACTAGCATAGTCTCTAACTGGTTCAAATGAAGATGTTTTTCTTGGATGTGAAACGGTACTCCAACCTGAGTGGGGACACCACCCATTGCACATAGACAAAGTGTTAAGAGAAAGAGGTGAGGGTCCCCTGTTGCTCAATGAGAAAGCAACAATTTAGGGTACAACCCCGCAACACATTGGCATTGGCATTGAACAATTTTCCATTGCCCTTGCTAATTACATTAAGCCCAGCAAAATGCCAAACAGTCTATCCCCTTCTTTCCTTTTCTTTTTTCCTTCTGACATGTCACATGACTATGTTCCAAATTGGTACCTCCTATATGTCCTTCCCCAAAAAAAACAAAAGAAAGAACACTATAAGTACCTCCGCATCTCTTCACTCCTTCCCCCACCACCACCTCCCTTCAAGAACTCCTCTCCAAAACCTCTCGACTCTTCCCAAAGAACCCCACCAGAGAGAAACCCAATAACCTCTCTCCCTCTCTCCAAGATCAAGCAAACACACAGGCGCACCTAAGAACATTGGACTGACTATATGGCAATGAGGAAGTCAAACAAGCTGCTTCAAACAGCAGCAATCAAACAGATCCTCAAGAAATGCTCAAGCTTGGGCAAGAGATCCTCAAACGGGTACAACAACAATGAGGAAGCCGGCCTGCCTGGGGATGTGCCGAAGGGTCACTTTGCGGTGTATGTGGGAGAGAACAGGAGCAGATACATCGTCCCGATCTCCTGGTTGGCTCACCCCAAGTTCCAGAGCCTGCTTCAGAGAGCTGAAGAAGAGTACGGGTTCAACCATGACATGGGAATCACCATCCCTTGTGAAGAAGTGGTGTTCCAGTCTGTAGCTTCCATGATCAGATGATGAGAACAAAAAATAGAGAGAGAGAGAGAGAGAGAGAGAGAGAGAGAGAGAAGCTCTTTGGGGAAGATTCGATTTGCATTTATAGAGAGTTTCTGGATATATGACAAATAACTTATCTAGTCCTTTTAGGGGGGTCTTGGTTGGTTCTGACCAATTTGTTATGGATATTTGTAGAGTCGTGTTCATGGTTTGCATGTAACGTGTATGAATGAAATTGATCAAGAAGAGCTTGACATTATGAGAGTAACTAAAGAGCAGTGTCCCTTGTGCTCTTCATTTTCCTTCCTGTTGATCATAATCCTAATCCCATCCTTCTTGATGATCAATATTGTCCGACGGAGAGGAACTTTGTAAGGACATAGAGTACTTTTTTTCCAGCAATTCAAGTCAGAGACAATATTGCCGAAAAGAGTAATGCTAGTTCGACTGAAACTGGTTTACAAAATTTGGCGCGACAGACTATCTCCCTTCTTTTCGCTGTCTGAGTGAAATAGAATACTATTTGGAAGTCGGAGAGATAGAGAGAGGTATGCATTATAAAACATGCATGACATCAGTTGCCCTATTGTAAGCCTAACGTACGCCCCATGCTTTTCCACTTCCCATTTAGCATTGTAAAGCCCCCAAGTAAACCACGCATAAAACAGCCAGAGATAACAATTGCCAATAGTAGAATCGTTTTTGTTTTTCTGTTTGGTCGATCTCTTTTACTGGGTTTCTTGTGTTCATATTACCAACTGGTGAATTAGCTGGGAAAATTCGATTGTGTAAGCTTGTGCAGTGACATTTGTTGTCAAAGCATCAGTCTTTCACCGCGTAGAGAAAATAGTTCTCCCTCTTGGGAAAGTTTAGCTTGAGACGTGAAAGGCCTGAAAGAATCGCCACATGGTTCGGACCCGACAGTTTTGAGTATATATGTTAGAAGGCAATTCCAGTTTACCATTTAAGCTAGATCAATCTCGGCAAAGGAACGAGGCGATAGAAACAAGTTTGTTTGAAGAGAGTAATGTAACTCGAAGCGGAGGAGTTCATGCCCAGCAATGACTCAGACACGCGAAGAGCAAGTCTCCGGTCCCGAGTTTTGTTTCTATCAGAATGTTATTAGTTTGCTATAACTTGTGGAGGTACAATTCTAGTCTCAAAGGAGTGTTTACAGCATTTTTTGTCCGTTGTCTCACGTAGTTTTCCACATATCGACATGCACACGAGATGTTAATACATTGCTTGGTCGAGTTTAATCGAGTTTGGCACGTAAGCGAGTGACTTTCCATTCATATACTGAAAATTAATGTATCCGGCACAACAATCGACTCTCTCTATCCATTTTAGTACACTTAGACACATTAAGATGACGCTTGTATTACTTTTATAAACTTATTGACCACTGTGTCATGCTCTGAGTATCGGTGGATTCTTTCAGGAAAGTTTACACCTCAATAACCCTATTTATTGAGAGAGAGAGAGAGAGAGTATTTATTGAGAGAGAGAGAGAGGCGGCGTGGGCTGATGATGCTCGAGAGTTAGAGTTAGGATTTGAACTTTTTTTGTGTGTTTCATTACGTTAAGTTTACCTGAGTGTTACATAGAAGCGTGTTCACCAAAACTAGGGTGGAGGGAGTTTTGGAAAACGGGTTTATTTTTCTTCAATCAGTTTTCTCTTATCGGCATCCAAGAACAACACAATCTTTGAAAACGGGTTTATTTCACCTTATAAGAAACTCATCTTTGTAGCCCGCCATCAACATGCTAGCGGACAGGCGGCAAAGGCCCCTGTTGGTAGCTTATGCTATCTCTGCTTTGATGAGGTACCCTGTGTAATCACCACCAACGATCCAAGGCAGACCTCCGGTTACATATGGATACCCTGTGTAACCCCCTTTAAAAGAAAGATTGAATAGTAGTAAATGGTCCAATGTTAATGTTTCAGGTTGAGTAATTGAGTTGACTGAAGAGATTACTATTGAAGAACTTGCTTGCTGGAGGAGGTTCCTAACTTCTGATATGGGAGACAAATCCCACATGGCTATTTTGAATTATGGATGAAAAGCCATAATCTTTCACATCTCGAAGTCATCCTCCTTCACCAAAATTGGGTTTCTGATTCTCACACCAATAAATACACTACGACGAACCCTCCAGTTTGTTCGTGTCTACGCATGCTCTGTGTGAATCAAATATCAATGTCTGTCTTACTCCATACAGCACACATCTTTTGCTAAATCAACACTTGCGTGGCTCGATTAGCTTTTCTTATTGGGTTTGTTGACAGGACAGGCATTAACGTGGGATCGGGTGACAATAATGCATTCAGGTAACCAGCATTGTTGCTCGTCCTCTTTCTCTTCTGCCTTTTTGAAGTTGACCAAGGACGTTTCATAATTTAATATTGTCTTTATGCTAGCAAAAGACTTTTTTGTGCATTGGACCGTTGGATAGCCTCCTAAGGATAATTATTCAAAAAGTCATCAATCTATTATACGGCGACCAGTTTAGTCATAAACTTTTCAAGTTGGTCAATTTAATTTTAAACCTTTTGACAATTTATCAATTTTGGTAAATCAATGACATGAACACCGGCGGTCCTATGTAGCATAACTGGCGCAGAAGTAGATATTTTTTGCAATTTTTATAAAAAGAGAGAAGAACATTAAAAATAGAATAAAATAAAAAAAAATTCTAATTTTTTTTTATTTTATTCTATTTTTAATGTTCTTCTTTCTGAAATGGCCGGGGGGGATTGCCAGGGCCTCGGCGATGGCCGACGACTCTCACCAGCCACAATTGAGGGCCGTAAAGCCCTCACTAGGTCTATGTGAGGTGAGGGCCACAATGGCCTTCGCCTTGCATATAGTCGGTGAGGGTCTTACAGCCATCAAGAAGAACAGTTAAAAAAAAAAGCAAATAATATAAAAAAATTTGTTAAAAAAAATTTCAAAAAAATAGTCCACGTTAGCACTGGCTATGCCACGTAGGATAGTCAACGTCCACGTCATCGAATGTCGGCCAAATTTAGCTGAAATGACTAAATTGACAAATTGTCAAAAAGTTTGGCCAAATTAAAAAGTTTATAAATGATTTGTCAGGAAAAGTGCCAAAAAAGTCCTAAACCTTTTGCATTAGTGCCAATTTGGTCCGAAACCTTTTTTTGGTGCCAATTCAGTCCTAAACCTTTTGCATTGGTGCCAATTTAGTCCTAAACCTTTTTTTGGTGCCAATTAAGTCCTAAACCTTTTAAATTGGTGCCAATTCAGTCCTAAACCTTTTGTTTTTGTGCCAATTTAGTCCTTCCGACCAATTTTGACCGGAATTTGCCGACGTGGACGCCTGCCGGCCGGCGGCCGGTCACCGGCGCCGACGTGGACAACTATAATATTATTTTATTTTTGAATTTTTATTTTTTTCCTTTTTTTTCTTTTTTTTCCACTTTTTTTTTTTGGTTATCTTCCTCCTTGCTCTGGCCGGTCGCCGGTCCGGCGACCGGCCAGAGGCCAAAGGCCGGCAAGCTCGACCTCGCCGGCCACTGGCGACGGCGGCCTCGCCCGGCAAGGGCGAGCCTCGCCATGGTCGGGCGAGGCCCGACCTCGCCGGATCTGGCGAGGTCAAGCCTCGCCCGACCAAGGCGAGGCTTGCCCTCACTGGGCGAGGCCGCCGTCGCCAGTGGCCGGCGAGGTCGAGCTTGCCGGCCTCTGGCCGGTCCGGCGACCGGCCAGAGCAAGGAGGGAGACAACCAAAAAAAAAAAGTGGAAAAAAAAAAGAAAAAAAGGAAAAAAATAAAAATTCAAAAAAATATTAAAATAATATTATAGTTGTCCACGTCGGCGCCGGTGACCGGCTGCCGGCCGGCAGGCGTCCACGTCGGCAAATTCCGGTCAAAATTGGCCGGAAGGACTAAATTGGCACAAAAACAAAAGGTTTAGGACTGAATTGGCACCAATTTAAAAGATGTAGGACTTAATTGGCACCAAAAAAAGGTTTAGGACTAAATTGGCACCAATGCAAAATGTTTATGACTGAATTGGCACCAAAAAAAGGTTTAGGACTAAATTGGCACTAATGCAAAAGGTTTAGGACTTTTTTGGCACTTTTCCCATGATTTGTCCATTGTACAATAGGAGTTTTTGGACAATTTTCCTTCGCGTTACGCATTGATAGTATTAGTATTCTAGAACTTATCCTCTTTTGTCTCTTGACCTTTTGATAGATGAAAGGCTTTTAAGTGATCATTTGCCAATTGAAATGCATAAATTTTCAATCTTTTATCTAGTATATCGTAAACAGATGTTTTTAGAGTGCTTATTACGCAATCAAATAAGAAAAATTTATATCTTAAGCATTTACATTTTATTAATGCGTAGACTCCGGCATTCAATATGCCTTATTTAACATAATAAATTAGCAATTGCTCAGTGCTTACTAATATAACACTTTTCCCAGTTGGAATGGTGTAAGTATAAACTTTTGTACCTACTAATTGTTAATTAAGTGAGTCGATTTTCTCAAAACATTGAACCCGTTGAAAACCTCGCATATTGTATTTTATACCTTTGAAAAAAAAAGCGTAATTATAGCACATACGGTCATAATAAAGTTCTTTTTCACAAGTGGTCTTATCCTAGTTCTTTTTCACAAGTGGTCTTATCCTGCTTAAATTTGGTGGTTAGTGAGAGAGTGAGTGATTAAAATCCTAAAATTAGGGGTGGATAAAATCGCTTGCGTAAAAACTTCTTGATAATCGCGGCATGTTGTGATTTTTCTTAAGGAAAATGACATTAATGGTCCCTAAACTCCGGCCTAATGTGCAATGTAGTCCCTGAATTTTTAATTTATTCAATGTGATCTCTAAACTCTAACCCAATATGTAATGTCATCCTTAAACTTTTAATTTGTTCAATATAGTCCATAAACGTTTGATGCATATTCAATATAGTCCCTGGACTGTATAATATTGAACATTTTCATATAGTTGAATGACTAATTTGAATATATACCCAAAGTTTAGAGACCACATGAACAAATTAAAAGTTCAAGGACTACATTATACAGGGTTAAAGTTTTGGGACCACATTGAACAAATTATAAGTTCAAGAATCACATTGCGCATTAGGTTAAAATTGAGCGACTGATTGTGTCATTATCCCTTTTTCTTAAAATAAATAAAAGCGCCATCATGCATGAGTTTCTAAAATAGAACACACACAGATGACCCTCACCATCAGAATGGGTCATTCTTACACAAAAGATCGTTTAATGTAACAAAGAGGGGAGGCATGTTACCTGTCTTCTGTGCTATTCTCTCAGGTATCTTTCCCCAATAAGTTAAATTATCGATTTCTGTGAATCTCTGAGATGCTGATGGCCTCAGCATTTTGACTTCGTCTGCCAATCTGCAAAGGTCAGATTTCCTTTTGTTTTTTAACTCACTCTTATGGCTGAAAACAGTCCTCATCGATTCACTGCATATCTTCTTTACGTAGATTTATTCCTCTCTCTCTCTCTCTCTCTCTCTCTCTCTCTCTCTCTGCTGTGGCAATGTTTGGAGGAATGAGTTCGGTGAAGATGTGAGACGGAGGGGACAGGACATGTTGTTAGGCTCGGAAACTGCGAGAAAGGAGAGAGACCTTCTTTGATTATGTCGAGGGTTTTGCCCTTCTTCGTCTCCTTCACTTTGACTTCTCGAGCTCTTCTTGCTCGCCACACAATTTCAATGGCCGAACTCTGGAAATCTTCCCAACTCGCCCAAGTCGGGCCGCGAACATGTCCCGAACACCTTGTCTCCCGAAATTCATCTCAGCTGTTTGTGTCTCCTAAGTCTTCTCAGGCTTTTGTTCTTCTGCACTCGGTACTGTACGTTGAAGTATGCGGAATACTATCAAGAAAGCCTTAAATTTATTGTATAAATGTCAATTTAGTCATAAACCTTTCAATTTGTTTATTTTAGTCATAAATATTTTGACAATTTTTCGATTTAATTCTTTCGGCCAATTTTGACCGAAAATCGGACGATTTTTACAATTGTTGGAATTTTTTTTTTATTGTGGCCAGCGATGGTACAAAAATCTAGAAGTCCTTGCCGGCTGCTAGCAAGGATCACGGCCCTCACCCAGGCTCTCATCGATCGTGGGCAAGGGCGCGACGGCCCCACCCACATCTGGGCAAGGCATCGCGCGCAATGAAAAAAATATAAATAGCAAAATAAACAAAAACATAAAAAAAAATTGCAAAATTGTTTACATCATCGCCGGCTATGTCATGCCATGCCATGTAGGACGGCCAGCGTTTCCATCTAGAAAAATTGGCAAAAATTTTATGATTAAATTGGCTAAATTAAAGGGTTCATGACTAAATTAGTATCCACACAATCGGTTTATGACTTTTTTGGTAATATTTCCTCAAAGTATCTTATGCAGCCGTCGCACAATCGTGATACACAAGCCAAGGCTTGTCCAAGGCCTGTCGTAAATGTCACCACGCACCGACAGACGGCGATTTATTTAAATTCGCGAGGATTAGTCGAGTCTAAGGGTTTTTGAACGTGATAGTACAAAATTACTAAAAATTTACACCATCTACTTAGCGGAAGTAGCCCCAACCGGCCCCCTATAAATTCGTCATTGCATTTTTCATGGGTGATGTGTGCATATCTTTCACTCTTGTACTCCAAGACTAGTAGTCACTGAATAGCTCCTCTTCTAGTGTTTAAAGAAAAATACGTGATCATAAGCCACAAAATGCACTTATGCTTCTAGCTTATCAATCATGCATGAAAGCCTAACACCGTTGCATTACCATATCAGCCGTGAACTTTCTGTACTAAAGAGGTTCTATCCACCGCATCACCCATAAATTATTTGTACAAAGTTTTCTCAAGGGCGCCTTATCTTCGATGGTGTGACAGATCCAAGATTGAAGACTTTAGGGAATAATTTCAAAATTAAGTTTGAAACCGTATAATCCACTCATTAATTACGGAATGTAAAGCTAATTCATACATCTAGGCTCAGTTAAATAATAGCCTACATAGCAAATACATACTTTCATGATGGTGAAAAGGGTGTCCAATGTGAGTCACCGTGGCTCCATATTTGGTACACCAGGTGCATTCCCGATCCTTTCGTACTAAGGAAAGATCCTCTTAAATGCCTCAACACTCACAGGACTGAATTATTTCACAACATTCTGAACCCAGCCCACCACCCAACCCTTAAAAACAATTTACGACCCCAAAAGGCAAAGAGCCGAAATCGAGATGCCAAACATTCCCATCGATGTGAACTCTTTAAGGAAAGATTGGCCTGTTATACTAAAAGTAACTTTTATTCGTCGAGCGATGGCCCTTCCACTTGGCACCGATAATCACTAAGGCCAGCTTTTAATGTCCATACACCCGAGAAAGAGCTAGCAAGCAATTACAGGACCCCAGTTATACAACGAAACTGACAAGATCAGTGGTTGTAGCTCGTCCCCATCAATATAATATGAGATTGATCGACAAACGCGTTAATATCTTGAACGTGTCGAGCAGAAATTGTAAATTGATGGGTACGATTCCACAGTTCTTATGGTAGCTAAAGTCAGAGCAAGGTGCTATGAGAATGGACTACGATAGAAGTCTGTCAAACCTCTATCGATGGCGTGCTAGCGAGGCTGCAGATGATGTGAATTAGCATGTTCATTTGGCCATCCGGGAACAAGCTTTTTAGCTCCAACTTGATTAGTGGGAAAAAGGCATATTACTTTGCATTCTTTAACTAAGTATGGGAAACATTGGTCTAATACTCGAGATGGAATCAAACTCACCCCATAAGAGTCTTGCATTTCCAGAGAGTGGAAACTAATCGGAACGGAAATCAGGAGGGCTCTTCAATCAATGCTCGCCACTCACTGGGATCAACACTACACAGTTCAGCTTTGATCATATTCATCTAATCTGTTGAGGCAGCATTTTTCATTTTTGATCAAAATGATGTCGTCTCGGCTTTTAGCCTCTACAAGCTTTCCTCCTTTTGCTTCTCATCAAATTGAGAGGCCTAGCTCTCTGGGTGGGGTTGCAGAGCCGTCAGTTGCTTGCTTAGAAGATGAATGGTCTCTTGACACTCTGCAAGCTTCAGTGCTGCTGCGGCTATCTCCTTCTCCTGCCATAGTGTTGGAGAAACATTAAAAGGCTGCAAAATTGCTGACAGACCGGAAAACATGCATTCACACCTTTCAATCACGAAATCGATTATTTACATCTCTGGATGTAGTCATTGAATAGTATCGGGACTGGAAAGAAAATTGGAGATCAAAAACATTTGCATCTTTAAAATATCAATGCTTAGCAGTCTGCACTTAAATATGAAGCCGATCTATTTTGTTAGCAGGGTTGAAAACAGCAACTGGTAATGTTGACTACCATCTAATGACACAGTGGAGTTTGTCCTATCAATGGATTTTGAACAAAGAAAGATCCATTTCACAGACATATCCGTTGGCGAGGCATCTGATCCATAGTCCACAAACAAAATATAAAACAACAAGAGCAAATTAACAGCCACTAGTAGACAGTGACAAAATTGTGGTCATATTCCTCATGATCCTAAATGTATGTGTATATCGAATATGTGTGGAGCTCCGAGAGCAACTTATAAATGCCTCCGCATAGTACTCTCCTTGCAATAATATGCATGTGTATACTAATGACTCTTTCCATTTTAACTTCCTGAAGATAAGAAGCAAGTCTAAGGATGACTATAGCTACCTAAGATTAGGTGAATCTACCATACCTGTTTGCTCTTGCTGTCAAGATCTACTGCAGATGATGAGCATGTTGTGCAGTTCTCCTTCCTTTGAAAAGAGATAAAGGACATGTAAGATATACTTTGGACATCAAGTTCAAAAAAAAGCTTCATGATGAAAAACAAGTTATGCCGCCAATGTATGAAGTTAGGAGCCTGAATAGCATAACAATTACTCAGGAGCGATGCAAGCTAGCTCACTTACAACATTTGATATTGCACAAGCATGACATTTATTTCTGGAAATAGGCATCATTTTTATCAGACTCTGATCCGAGGGCCTTATCCAACTAAGAAATTGCAAGACATTTCTTTTAAGATTTTTTTAACCTTGAAGGAACTCTGATGACTTAACCAATATATACCTATGGTTATAGGGCACAAGCAGGAGAAAACAGCAATCCACAAGTCCTGGGTCTAAATGTGGGTCATATCTGACCTCAAGCCCTAAAAGAACAGGGAGCCACCTCTTTTCAAAAAGCCTATCTTCAAAATGAATAATGATTATTTTTTAGTTTGTAAGTTCAAACCCCAGGACAAATTAAGGTGAGGCAACAAATTCCAACCTTTTGATTTTCTGCTGAAGATCCTCACACCTAGATTGAGTTTCCTGATGATGGTGTTTTTCTTCAGCAAGTTCCTCCTCTAACTTCTCAATCTTGTCACGTAAAAGTTTCACTTCAGCTTCCAAATCATGTGCCCGCATTTCTAATGATTTGTAAGACTCTGTCATGCATTTTAGCTGAACCTCTGCTAAGCTGCGTGAGTTTTGACATGATTCTAACTGCAATTTCAGTCCTGTAAGAACCTTCTCTTTTTCCAGCAGCCGAAGCTTTGTAGTCTCAAGATCAGTGCACCTAGCTATGCCTGATACATCGTGTTCTTTCTCTGACTTGAATGGGTTCAAGTCCTCCTTTAAATTCTTGAAAGATGCAACCTTCGATCCAACCTGGGAGCCCATTTTTTCTTCTTGAAATCCCTTGCTGTAATCCTCGATATTAGAAGTAGAAGGGATATTGCCACATTCAACTGTATATGTATTTCCTGAAAGCTTTTCTTGAACGACCTTACTCTCCAGCAAAGCAACCTTATCTATGCATTCTCCATCACTAGTATCTCCCTCAGGACCTGTGTAGTTAATGATGCCAGATTTTAGTTCACTAGCTTTACCAACAATATCTGAAAGTTCAATAACAAAGTCAGCCGAGGTTAAGTTGTTGCATGCAAGGTTCTCAACAGAGGTGGAGAAAGATTGTATCATCTTTTCCAACCCCTGCTCATAACTGGAAAAATCCTGGCATAAGGCTGCTTCCTTGCCTAGAGAAAATACAAAGTCGTGTATCTGAGAAACTGCCTTTTCAAGGTTTTGCTTTCTGATATTTATGTTGCTAGTCTTAGGGCTCCCCGGAATGACTGATATCACACTCTCTGCAGTTTTCACTGTATCTTCAGCAGTAGGATGCTGACCATATCTATCACTTGGATGAACTTCCTCTGAGATAGGACCGATTGAATGAAGTAATGGAGAATCTGGGATCTCTACAGCATGTTTTATATCTAGCAAAACTTTTCCTACATCAACATCTGGAGCATGAGACTCAATTATCATACCGATTTTGGAGAGCAGATTGGGCAATTGCAAATCCTCTCTATGGGGCTTGTGCTGTCTGGTTGGAGGACTAGGGTATGGCACATCCTGATTCACTGATGAATTTATGCCAGGATCCTGATTAGGAAGGGGATTCGCACCCTTGGAATTTGTAATATCTGCTGGTGCTACACGTTCTATATTTGCTTTGCCGGCAGAACCTGTACTTCTAACAGCAGAAGTGTTTACACATATATCATCAGATGAACAGGCCAATTTCTCCATTTCAAGAAAGTCATCCATTAATTGTCTGTCACTCTCACGTGACCGCTCATCAGATTTGTCTATGCTCTTAGCACTCTCCAAATAAGACATGCTGCAGATATGCGGACTCCAAGATTCAGAGGAGCTTCCTTCTCCTTCAATTCCATCTTCACAAGTAGAACTGGCACTTGGCGGGGTGCCTGCAACGTGACTTGAAAATTCTTCAATATCCAAACCCATGTTGGACTCAGGGGACCGTTTCAGTTCAACTGCCTGAATCTGAGCCTCCAAGCTCTTCAGCCTGCCCACTGTTTTGGCACACATGTTTCTCATAGCCTGCAATTCTGAGTTACGAGCAGCCAAAGTTTCTTTCAAAATCTTTGATTCTTCTTCCGTTGCCAGCAAATGTTTACTGAGAAAATCAGATTCTTTGTAACATTGCTGAGGACGGTCAAAGGAGATTTCAGGCTCACGAGGCAACCTAGAACTAGGATTTCTAGCTGTATTCTTCCTTAGCCAAGGTTCACTGGAGATTCGGCCTGAGCTCCCAACTTCCAGCTTCATTTGAGCTAATGCAGCTGGACCAGGCAATTTCTTGCGAACGAGGCCACGTAGTCTTTGGCATTCTGCTTCCAGTTTGGAGATTATTCTGACATCCTCCAGATGCTGGTGGTTTAAAGCTTCTGCTGACTTCATGCTCATATTCTTCTCCTGATTTCTAATATCAAGTTCTTTAGAAACCATGTGCAGCTCATATTTCAGTGAGTTCATGTCCTTCTCATATAACTTGATATCCCGTTTAAGAACTTCAATCTCCAAATTAGCTTGAGATTTTTCTTCATTGACACTTAATATTGTATCAATATGTTCCTGTAATGACCTGGAAAGTGCAGCATTTTCTGCTGTTGCCTGAAGAAGTCGACCATCTAATTCAGCTACCTGTGCCTCAAGACCAAGTTTCATTTCGTCCCATTGCTTGGCTTTGGTACGAATTACTTCTTGCAAGTTTCTCTCACTCTCCTCCTTGACATTTCTTATCTGCCTCATGCACTCCTTCAGAGCACCATCCAGGTGAGATGCCCGGTCCTCAACAGTGAGCTTCAACAGCATAGTAGATTCAAGTTGCTGTCTCAGTGCAAGGGCTTCTGCATCTGCCTTCTCCCATCCTGAGAAAAATTGAGGTAACGTTGTTTAACCTATTTAGGGCCCCCACAATTTTGAACATGTCAAACCCTACGTAAAGTTTGGTATTACGAACTCTATTGCTTAATGCACTTTCCGGTCCCCACACCAGTTAAGCATTTTGATCCCCTTTTTGAAAAGTTTAAAGAGAGTTAAGGACAACTATCGCTTTATCATACTCATATGTTCACTGAAGTAATCTAGGTGAACATTTCAAAAGTCGTTGCCAAATCTGATTGAGGGAGTGCTAATTATCGCTCTTATCTGCATGATTGGGTGGAGATAGAGAGAGATGGAGAGATTATATAAACTACTTAGAGAGCTAAGCTGAGTACTAGGGATTCGACCTGAAACAGCTTCTTCAGCAACTTTGGCATGTTGCTTGACCAGATTCTCCTTTGAACTAATCTCCAAATAAGCTGCAGACAGCTTTTCATTCAAGTCCTTAACTTGAGACTCCAAAGTAGTAACTTGAGATTCCAGTGCAGTGACATGATCTTCCAATCCACTCAAATGCCTATATGAATCCAAGGATATCTGAACATAGTTCACCTTTACATAGTCCTGGCCATGAAAACAGAGAAACTTAGGAAGGAGTTACTTGACCAAGAGCACAAGATAATTTGCTAAAATGTACTTTTTAAAAATAAAAATAAAAAGACTACTCCCTTGATCCCTTCCCTGGCATAAGTGAAATTGACAACAACGAATGGGCAGCTTTCTTATGCCTACCAAATTATGCTTTCGACCCCAAGTTCAATGAGCATACCTCATGTCCTATGGATGCTGCTTTAGACAAGGTAATTGCAGGATCAGATGGGGCAACCGGTTTGTCAGACAGGCTCTTGCCCAACGATTTCTTCTTCCACGGCCAGCCCCGGCGGTCCATTTCAGGATTTGCTTCCTAAGTTCACAATCCATAATTGTTTTTAATGACTTATCTAGTCTCCCGGGTAGGAGGCATGGAGTAAACAACAGAAATGAGCCAAAAAAAAAAAACAACTAAAAGGAGGGCACTCAACAGAACGGATGACCTGTGAGGAAAAAGAAAATGTAAAATTTTACTAGGAAGTAGGAACGACTTCGAATTTTGTGGATGCCGATCGTCTCAAAATCACATTGATATTGAAATACACATGAGAGCATCATCATCTGCTGCCAAATTTATCCAAACCTCTCGTGAAAAGATCAATTCTCTCCGTCCTCGGGCATCAATCACTCAGTAATCACACAAGCTCAGAACAATTTTCGCAATGGCCCAAAATCCTCGCTCGGGTCTACGACCAACATTCGCCAAGTAACGGAGCGGGGTTCTCCCACGGTCATAGGAAAACAATTCACCGAGAGCAGGATCAGCCAAACATCATTTCAAAAATGCTAAACGGCTCTCGATGAATGCAGCTCTAAACCAGCCAGCCACCGGAAAACAAAACAAAACTAAACAACAGAGCTAACTGGCCACCAAAAAAAAAAAAAAGAACAAAAAAACGATCGTCGCGAAGTAAACTTCACCGGTCACAGTCCGATCGATCCTTCACCGAAACCACTCAAGACGCCAAAACGAAGCCGCAGGATCCATGGCCGAGTCTGCTTCGCACGCTCCTATTCACAGAGAGAGAGAGAGAGAGAGCTTGCGCTCCGCAATGACGTCCGTCGGCAAAACTAGAAGGAGCAAAAAAGAAGCAAAAAAAAAAAACCAGAACGAGCTCAACCGTACGCGCTCGGCGACGACGCCAGGGACAAGGAAACGCATGATCCCACGTCTAGACACGCTCGCCGCACACGACGCAGCCCCGACGGAAGCGATTCCTGCTCGGCCAACACCTCGAAACCGCAGCGGGCGCCCACCGATCACGAGCAAATTGCTAGCGAGCAAGCGCGCACAAGAGAGAGAGAGAGAGAGAGAGAGAGAGAGAGAGAGAGAGAGAGATGCGGTATGAAAGCGAGGGACGCAGGAAGCGCTGCTTCTCCTCGAACTGGGAAACTCACCGGAAGGGAGCGGCGACGATTCGAACTCGACGAGGTCGATCGGAGCTCCGGCGACCGTGCAAGGTCTCCGCGGGAGGAGTGGTGGAGCTTTTGGGATGGAGCGTGAGGAGGAGGAAAGCGAGGAAGACGACGACGACGACGACGACGCGAGGAAAATAGGAGGGAGCTTCAAAAAATTGCGTGCGTGGGGGAGGGGGGACGTCTCCATCAGGAGACGCTCCTCCTCGCCACGCCAGCTAAAAGCGGCGGTGCCACGTCAGCCACTGGCGGGGCCCGCGGCTTCTCTGATTTCCCCGTTTTGCCCTTGCGAAGGTGACTCCTAAGTCCTAAGAGTAGATAGTCAACGTCCCCGGGCGTGAATGGGGCTCGACTTGGTTCCTTTTTCGGGCAAGTTTGTCTTAACTCGATAGCCTTAAAAATTTGAAATTGCCGCTTTTAATTTTTGTCGTTACTACCATAAAACAAATCCTAAACTTTAGGCTCCTTTTTAACACGGCCCAATGCCCTAAAAAATTCTCAACTTTAACCTTTATCCCAATTATATCTCGAACTTTTTTTGTCTCATAAAAAATCCCAAACTTTTACTTTTATCCCAAATATACCCAGTTAACTTTTCGTCCAATTTTTTAATATTATTTTTTATTTTTTCGAATTTTTTTTATTTTTTCTTTTCTTTTCTTTTTCCTTTCCTTTTCTTTTTTTTTTGTTTCACCTTCTGGCCGATGTGGCCGAGTTCTCGCTGGGATCCGGCGAGGCTACCGCCCCGCGAGAACCGGGCGAGGTCTGGCCTCGCCCAAAGAATGGCGAGGTTCAGCCTCGACCGACCTCGCCAGTTGCCGGCGAGGCCGAGCCTCGCCGCTTGCCGGCGAGGCCGAGCCTCGCCGGATCCGGCGAGAACTCGGCCTTCACGGCCATTGGCGAGGTAGGCCCCCCGCAAGAACTAGCGAGGTTGGCCTCGCCAACGGCGGCGTGGCCGAGCCACTGCAAGGCTCGGCTACGCCCTGCCCCGCGGCCATTGGCGAGGTCGGCTCGCCCGGCCGCCGGCGTGGCCGAGCCACGGCAAGGCTCGCCCCGTCGGCCCCGTCGGCCCCTGCCGGCCATTGGCGAGGTCGGCCGCTGGCCCGGCCGCGTGGCCGAGCCACCTGCAAGGCTCGCCCCGTCGGCCCCCGCCGGCTATTGGCGAGGTCGGCCTCGCCAGCGGCCGGCGTGGCCGAGCCACTGGCGAGGCTCGGCCCCGCGGCTATTAGCGAGGTCGGCCTCGCCCAACGCCGGCGAGGCCGAGTTCTAGCCAGATCTGGCGAGGCTCGGCCCCGCCGGCTATTGGCAAGGTCGGCCTCGCCAGTGGCCGAGCCACGGCGAGGCTCGGCCCTGCCGGCCCCCGCCTCTGGCCGGTCGCCGGACCGGCGACCGGCCAGAAGGTGAAACAAAAAAAAAAGGAAAGGAAAAAGAAAAGAAAAGAAAAAATAAAAAAATTCGAAAAAATAAAAAAAGTAATATTAAAAAATTGGACGAAAAGTTAACTGGGTAGATTTGGGACAAAAGTAAATGTTTGGAGTTTTTTATGAGACAAAAAAAAATTTTGGATATAATTAGGACAAAGGCTAAAGTTAGGAGTTTTTTAGGGAATTGGGCCTTTTTAACACTGTATCTCCAGTGTCCAAATAGGATACCAAAGTTCAAGATGGAATGCAGCTTTTGATAGATCGGATAGGAAAAGCCGTCATTGTATCTTTTGCTTGGGGCGCCCTCCGGACCGGATATGCCCGCATATGTCCGGATAAAGTGTCGGATAAGAAATCCGAGAAAAGAGATGAGATGGAATCGGAATGGATTATAAAAAATCATGAAAGAAAAGAGCTTAACAAAATGAGAATCGGCATTGCCTTCATGATTAATCACTAATCAACCGTGAATCTTTTCGAAACAAACCGGCCTCTAAATACATTGCTATCAAAAATCTGTGCGGTCAAATTCGAAAGTTTGATGTAGGATAGCCATCTGCTTCTGCAGAGATGAAACATCCTTGGCAATATTAGCAGGAGGAAGTATGAGGTGGTCCAGGGACTCCACGTCAGCGTAGTCTCGGGCCACTCATTAAGCGCCACTTGGAGCCACGTGGAGTTGCGGGGCTAGCTCACTAAGATGTAACTTTTGCACAAAAAACAATCTTCTTACACTCTCTCTAGCCTGCATACTAGCTCTTGCGCCTATCTCGCCTCTACACACATTCATTTCCTCTCTCTTATATTCTCTCACCTCTTCTTTGTTCTTTCCTTCTTAGAAGAAGAAAGAAAAGCCAACCCTCTTTCCTCTCTCCAGCGAAGACTTTCAAATTTTGAATCTCTACTTTCGCTATCAGATTTTGCTACTCCACACTCATTGTTGCTGCTTCAGCGTTCATCAAGCGGCTGTTCCGACGGAGCACATTAAGGTTGGCCCTTCTTCGACAAAGCAAATGTCTCCCTTTCTCGTGAATTCGAAAATTTGTGTTCCTCGTCCTCACTCTCTGCTCCGACGCTTACTTCCGTCTATGCTCGAGTGCTGTTCCAGTGACATGAATAATTGAAATTTTTAGGTCCTTATCACACAAAAAAATATTTGCACTAAAAAAGAATTGAAATTTCAACATGAAGAAACAACAACATAATCATCTACACAAAATTTTATTTTTGTAGTGAAACGATTCAATATCTATATTTTATTACAAAAAAAATTATGGACCTAGGTAGAACCGGGAATCTGATCTAAATCTGCCGGTTGAAGAACCAACAGTTCCGAAGCCATCCGGTTCGGTTCACGATTTCGATATGTTTGAACCGGGTCACAGGAGTCGAGAAACCCACCTGCCCACCTTGAAATCGGTCGCCTCTAAGATGAAAAACCATACGAGATCCCGACTCTTATCCGGGCCATCAAACGAGGCCTAAATATCAAAACCAACATAGAAAAAAATAAAAGCCCCCGAACTAGAAATAGGCCCATTTAGCCCAAAACCTCAAAAGAAGAAGGCCCAACCCAAGTCACTCAACTCAAGCCCAAACACAACTTCTTCACTATATAAGCCTCTCACGCAAACCCTAATAAGCCTTCACCACCTTCATCTTCTTCTTCCCCGGCACCAGCACACACAGGCACGCACGCCTCCCGGCCGCCGCCGCCGCCGCCGCCGCCGCGAGAATGGGTCGGGTCATCCGGGCGCAGAGGAAGGGTGCCGGGTCCGTCTTCAAGTCCCACACCCACCACCGCAAGGGCCCCGCCCGCTTCCGCAGCCTCGACTTCGGCGAGCGCAACGGCTACCTGAAGGGCGTCGTCACCGAGATCGTCCACGACCCGGGCCGCGGCGCCCCGCTCGCCCGCGTCGCCTTCCGCCACCCCTTCCGCTACAAGAAGCAGAAGGAGCTCTTCGTCGCCGCCGAGGGTATGTACACCGGCCAGTTCGTCTACTGCGGCAAGAAGGCCACCCTCGTCGTCGGCAACGTCCTGCCGCTGCGGTCGATCCCCGAGGGCGCCGTCGTCTGCAACGTCGAGCACCACGTCGGCGACCGCGGCGTCTTCGCCAGGGCGTCCGGGGACTACGCCATCGTGATCAGCCACAACCCGGACAACGACACCAGCAGGTGCGTGCGTTTTGTCTGCTTTTTTTCTTGGATCGGATCGGATTAGCTTGTCCTTTAAGTGTTCTTGAGCTGAGGGAATGAGGTGGGAGTGAACAGAGCGTCTGGCAGATACGAATTGTGATTGTCCGAGTCATGATGGAGTGTTGGGTTGCTCTTGCTCGTGGTTGATTTCATTTTGAAGAACCTTTGGGCCGATATGGCGAACTCCGGTCGCGACGATTTGGGATTTTCTTTCGCCGTTTCGGTTTGTTGCTTCTATGATTTGAAATGGTCAACCTTTAGTAAGATGTGTTATTCGTAGGCCCAATGGAAGCACGGATGTGTTCACTAGAAATGAGCATTTGTTTGTATGGGTAAGAACTGAATAGCGGGGTGATTTCTTTACTTAATAGAGCATCGGATGATTATCTTGATCGCGGGATTATTCTCGCTTCACTATTGTGTTTGTTGGTGTATTTCAGCAAGGCCCCGAAAGAAAAAGGTCACAATCGTCAAGTTATAAACTTGTTTATGTTCATTGTATGGGTTTCTGCATCTTCATCCGATGCTCTCACATCCAAAGGAGATAATTTAACATGTTCTTCGCTGTTAAAGTTATTAGTCTATTGGGAAAATGTCAATGGTGAGGCAACTGATCATGTAATGCGCACATACAAGAAATTTTGTATCTTTAGTTCCCAGAGATAAGAAAAATAGCTTGTAACTGTTGGGGAGTTTCAATCTTGTTCAATTTGTGGATGGTCTTCGATGCTTTGCTTATATGACTACATTGTTGAAGTCAGTGGACTTTTAGCCCACTGCAATGCTATGCCACCATTCCTTTTTTCCATCAAGTAAATTGTTTGTTATTATCGTGTACTGGGGGTCACTCCTTGCATGTTTTCTTGGCTTTGTATGTGAAGTCATCTACTGCTAAGGGGATGGGAGCCAATTGGAAGGGGTAGGTATAGTAGAGTTGATAAAGTGAAGATTAGGTGATGTTTTACATACATAAATGCGGCAGTGATGCTTATGAGAGGAAGGGGCAATCCCTGACTATTTTCATGGAACAAGGGAAATTTTGGAACTTGGAATTGTGTTTGACATTTAAGTTAAAGAGTCCTACACAGTGAAAAAGTACTTTCATAATAAAGGAAGTTGATGACATGAGGTATATTGACATGATGTGACCTTCATATTGTGATGACATGGTGTGCACGTTATGGTTAGAGATTGCATTATCAGATTGTGATGTCATATTAGTGCACCCATAGACGTTATATTTTATAGTTCCGACACCAAATAAGTGAAGCTCGCTAAATAACCTTCGAGCTCACATTGTTTGCATTGGATGGCAGAATCAAGCTCCCTTCCGGTTCTAAGAAGATTGTTCCAAGTGGGTGCCGAGCGATGATCGGGCAGGTTGCTGGTGGAGGGAGGACTGAGAAGCCTCTCCTCAAGGCTGGCAATGCTTACCACAAATTCAGAGTCAAGAGGAACTGCTGGCCTAAGGTTCGTGGTGTGGCAATGAACCCCGTTGAGCATCCCCACGGAGGAGGTAACCACCAACACATTGGGCATGCTAGCACGGTCAGGCGCGATGCTCCTCCTGGCCAGAAGGTTGGTCTCATTGCTGCTAGGAGGACCGGTAGGCTCAGAGGTCAAGCTGCGGCTACTGCTGCCAAAGCCGATAAGAGCGCTTAAGGAGCATTGCTATTTTATCTTTACCTTATTTTTTCTCTCTCTGGGAATTGTCTCGTTGGGGACCTTTTGTAGTTCACTTCCAAAGATTAGTTGGTGCCTTTTGTAGACGAAATTTCGACAACTGCGAGAGTCACGATCATTTTATATATGATTGTTTGTGTTGCTTGGGATCTTTTATTATGTGATGAGCTGAATGGCAATTGCTTTTGTTTCCTACTCTTTCCTCTGGCTCTGTTTGGGAAATTTCTTCTAATGGCTTTGACCCTTTACTCCCAGAGCTGCAACGGCTTTGGGTGTGGTGGATGGGTGATGGTGGTAGGTACCTTGAACAGTTTTATTTTTGGGTCAAAAGTGGGAAAGGCTGTCGTTGGATGGTTTTAACTGTTTTATGAATCGGGACTCGGTTTGGTTGCTGCTTGCTGCTGGCCATATCAGGAGAGAGAGAGAGAGAGAGAGAGCGCAGTGTACACGACGTGTTATTCAGGTCGATGGTGCTTGGTGGCGGATGGTGGCGGAGCAGCATGACAGGGGGCTTTCCGGGTACGGATGCGGAAGCTGTACGTCTACTCCGGCATTTGGCGATGGATATGGTGGAGGCCGTGATTCCGTAACGGTGCTTTAAACGACGGTGGAGCCATGGTCGGTCTGCTTTAGCAGTGCCATCAGGGTATGATCAGGTTGGGAGCCTCCTCTGTTCTTAAAAAGTTGGCGCTGTTTCTTGGGACATTTCCACAACCACCATGTAATGTTTATAAGGTCGGTGCTTTATATAAACGTCCTTTAGTTGATTGAAATACTTTATAGTCCGGGTAGACGAGAGTACATGTCCATATTATTTGGTCATTTACGTTTCGGAATCCGAATTTAGTCCTTTAGTTGATTCACGTCCTTTAGTTGATTGAAATACTTTTATTAGTCCTTTAGTTGATTCACGCCACGACGACGGCCTGTGCACTCCTCGACGGAGATCCCTGTCACGATCTCATATCGGTAGATTGGAGTCACGCTCCACAAACGACAGTCGAGCAGAGAAGATTCCTCAAATCTCAGAACTATGGAATCGATAAACCACGATTCCCCAACCCCGCTTTTCTCTATTCTCCCTTGCGCTCGATCGCTCTGATTTCGCCGCCGCGATAGACCGCGACCGCGACAACCGTCGTGCAAAGGTCACGCGGGCGGTCGCCTTCTTCGATTGCAGCTACTGTGATGGCGACGGGGGCGGCTGCAATCTTGGGTTTTTCCGTTTCGGCTTTTTAATTGAATTGAATCTTTTAGTTTTTTGTTTTTCAATTTAATTGAATTTTTTATTATTATCTCTCATAGGATTAAATATATCTACATTTAGGTTTCGTTTGTTTTAAAGAAAAATCACATCTGGAAAAAGCATTTTCATTATTCACCTGTGTTTGTTGTGGGGGAAATTAAGTTGATAGAGGAAATTGTTTTCTATAGGTATTCAAAAGGGAGGAAAATGACTTTATGCGATTAGACTCTTGCCTGCGATTCTTCTTTCTTGGCAAACCCTTCTCTCTCTCATTCCTAATAGAGTAAAACTTCGTTATAAGGAAAATACTTTTTGAGAAACTAGTTTTAAGGAAAATATTTTTTTCCAGGTTCAGGAAATTCATTTTTCTAACTTTTCTTTGACCATAAATGATTTTCCGTTTGACCGTTTACCTTCAGCAAATCAAACACGTGAAAATCCATCAATCTAATTCGTGAAAAATTCTTTTACTCAAACAAGCACACCCCGAATCACTACATGTTCTTCCCATTCTTCTTCGTTCCGGCAGTCGGTGAACCACCACCATGTCTGATTCCGCGGAGCGCTTGATGATGATGATTTCTCTGCTCATGTCTTCCATTTTTTATCGACAACTACTGCTCAGAAACACTTGACCCATTTGCAAACTGCGACGTGAATGCTTTGCAATCAGTGATGCTTTCCACAGTTTTTTCTTATCTATGGGGGCTTTTCAATCAGCTATGGTGGCCATGTTGATGCAATCCTCTATCAGAAATCAAAAGCTGTACAGCTGCACTTGCGAGAGTTATTATTAAAAAGAAAAGGGTTATTTACAATCGGCAGAGATGTTTTCATACGTTCTCCCTAAGTAATCTGCCAAATGCTTTACGGTTAAGCTTCCTCAGACCTGCCAGAAATCCGCCAAATGCTTATGGTTAAGCTTCCTCAGACCTACCAACAAACATGCGCGCCCTGCTGATAAAAAGATTAGGGAGTGGGGCCGGAAACTACCAGGTCCGGTGTTTAGATCTCCATAAGCACCGCAAACCCACGTGTACATAAAAGAGAAAAGTGAGACAAAAAAACAAAGGTTTCCTCAGACCGGCTCAACCATACGCCTAAATTAAAGAGAGCTTTTTACCAATCCAACTGCAACGAAGATTTATGATCGACAATCACAAAAAAATAACGTTTCCGGGGTGCAAATTATTCCTTAGACATGTGACTTCCGACGCCATTCCGACGGAATTTACTAAGGAATTGTACTCGCAAGCCCGATTCTCTAACGATAAAAAATCCAACCAACTTTTAATGTAATCGCTGCAGATACGCTATAAATCAGAAAAAAAAATAGTTTCCTTCAAATGAATTGCACAGGCAAAGCTGGAATTCCAGTTTAACACCAACGAATCAGAGTCAAATCTGCTCATCAAGTAATTTAACTAGGTAATAAAATGTGTCCTCCCTCCGGTTCCTATTGATTAATGCTTCTATGATGCAATAAAGAAAATACTTATTCGGATGTCGGCGCTATCCATTCCAATTTATTCATGACAGCCATCACCTTCCAAGAATTTAACCACCAAATTTCGCCCTCTTTGCACTCTGTTCCCCAGCTGGATCATTACTCCCCTGCTGAGAAGGCATTTCATGCAGATAAGAGCAATTGGACCCGTTTCGGCAACCCTTCACAGTATTAAAGAACATGCAGACCTTCTTCTCATTCTTGAGTGTCGCCACTTCTTTAGGTCCTAGATTTTGGTCCATTTTCAGATTCTGCAGTTGATTCTGATTCACCCCGATTGGTGTAATGTGCACCGAGTTTTCTGGCTGTTCTCCTCCATGTTTTCTTACCAAGTTCTTATAGTAGTCAGCATCTTTCACAGGGTGTGGTCTCACAGCCTCCATAGTTGGGACAAGAGTAGGACTCGGTAGAGCACTCACCTTATAATTGAAAGGTGGACAAGCTGGCGTAGTGCTGGAAGGTGGTATTGGCAGAGGCAGTAAAGCATGCCCAGGATGTGCTGTTGCCCACATAGTCGGGACGAGAGTAGGACCCGGTAGAATACTCACCTTAGGAGTGAAAGTCGGCCGATCTGGCATGGTGCAGGAAGTTGGAATCAGCGCATTCGGTAGAACACTCAGAGGACGTGCTCTTTCTCCCGCCATAATCGGGACTGGAATAGGACTGGGTACAGCACTCGCTTTATAGGTGAAAGTTGGTCGATCTGGCACAGTGCATGAAGTTGCAATCGGAGGACCTGCAAATCGAATGGGGAGAGTAGAACTCTGAGCCTTCACTCCATCTAACCCGGGAAATGGAACAACTGGCCGAGCTTGCGGTGCCCTGAATGGTAGTTGCGTCTGGTTTTGTGCAGAAAAGATTGCATTAGCAGGGGTCGGTGGCAGAAGTTTCAGAGAAGGACGAATTGGGGGATTTATCCGCTTTGGTTCAGACGACAACAGCTCATGGCTTGACACAGGAATTGGTAGACTTGTTTGCTTGGGTTGAGGTAGCGAAAGCTCGGGACTTGATAGAGGAATTGGAGTTTCTTGCTGTGATTCGGTTAGCAAGTGTTTGGGGATTGAAACGGGAATCGATGGACGTATTTGTTTGGTAACAGATTGGGAAGCTTCAGGGCTTGACAGAGGAATTGGTGGACGAATATGTTGTGACTCGGGTAGCACAATTTTGGGGCTTGCTGGAGGAGTCAGCGGTTGAATTTTCTTCGAATCAGCGCGCAACAAATTGGGGCTTGATGGAGGAGCTGATGGACTTTTTTCCTCTGATACAGGTACAAAACGTTTTGGGCTTGACAGGGGAATTGGTGGGTGAAACAGCTTTGACTTAGTTACCGAAGGTCCTGAGCTTGACAGGAGATTTGGTGGACGCATTTGTTTCGACTCGGACGGCAAAACTTCGGGCCTTAACAGGGTTGGCTGACCAATTAGCTTTGACTCGGTCGGGGGAAGTTCCGTGCTTGACATGGGAAGTGAAAGAGTTGTCTGCTTTGACTCTGGTAGAGAAAGTGGAGGGCTTGACTGAGAAATTTGGGGACTAGCTTGCTTTGACTCGGGCGATGGAGTTTTATTCTTCAAAAACTTTCCAATCATCTGGGGATCGTGGAGGAATTTGACGAGCACATCGGTGTCAACCATATTTCCCTGCTCACAATTCTTCACAAGGACAGTGAAAAACATCACTGCTGCAGCAGCAGCTAACTCTGCATCTCCAACAGATATCTGTACATCTCCAACAGTTATAGTCTCAACTCCTGAACTTTTCGTCTGCTTTCCTTCGATGGAAGTTGTATTTTCCCCTTGACCTACCAGTGGTTCCAAGGAAGGAATTTCAGAAACTGACAGAAGTTGGAAATAAGGTATTGAAGTATCGAATTTGAGGAAGTAAAATTAATGCTGAGTGTTTCCAAGTCAGGTGGAGACTCACTGGTGTCCATCTCTTCAATGCCGATGATGGGAATTATTGGTGTGAGGGTATCATCATAGTTTTCGCGCGCTACAGCAGGGGATACAAATGGGCTACCAACAAAGAAAGAAAAAGAAGAGAAGAATGTAAATGCAGAATCATGTAATCCTGAAAAATGAGCATTCAGAAGAAAAGAGTGACATTTACCTAGACGGTATATACATTGAGCGCGGGTAAAACGCCTCGAGCACTCTCAATTCTCTACTCACTTCAGCTCCCGCATCTTTGCTTTCTTCACCAGCGGCAACAAGCCAGTTGCTACTCACAGCAAACTACAAAGTTTATTCAAAAGGAAACACCAGGACTGTAAATTTAATTTTAACAACAAAGGACAATGAATGCATTCAGATGAAAACTTAACTAGCTACAGACCATATTTAATGCCAGAGAAAATATTTAACGCTAACATGTGCTGAAGATATCTAGAATGGAGAATCTTACTCTGGGAGGGCAGGTCCAACGAATGCAAGGGATATGAATACGCTCTCTTGATTGTTTTGCCGAAGAGCTGCCTCCATGTCCCGGTGGCACAGCGTCAAATTTCGCACCATTCAAATCCGATACCTGCAGCGACTTGCCGAAAAATTATGCTTAGCTTTCGGTACAACTTGTGAAGGACAATCCCTCGACAGGGACTGCACAAACTACATGAAAGGACAATCTTCCATCGTACTCAAGTTTGACTTAATAATAACCACTTATAAATAATATTGTCTCATATTCTCCATACCAAGAGAAGAACATCAGTTCATTAACAGTATTACCTCATAACATAGTTAGTACAGTGAGAATGATACATATAATTTACCGTGGTCAAAATATGAATGAGAGGCTAAAGTTATATTAACACTAGCTAATTAGATGAGCGATGTAAATCATCTTAGGAACATACTCCTCCAAACGATATTTGAATGCAATTGAAAAAAGGGAAACCTTCTTTTAAGAACTTTTTCATGAAATCCTCAGTAAATGCATACTTGGCAAATCATTAAACTCCCCTCTTCGTCATAGATTCAAAGTCCTTTAGAGGAAGCTTCTAACTAGTTTCTTTTCTTCTATCCTTAATCAAAATGCATACTCGGCAATTAATAAACTTCTCATGGCTTCGTCAAAGTCCTTAATAAGAAGGTCATGATCTTCTACACACCACAATTTGCAAATCTTACAAATCCCTTTAGTATTCTCGCGATATCTTCGGACTTAGCCAACGAACTCCGAAGCAGGAAAAGCTTATCACTTGCTTAATCCATATTCCAAACTGTGTATAATAATCCTGAAGAACCCTTTAAAAAGTAGATCATTGAACATGCAAGGAACAAAGCAGAGAATCCCCAAGTCTTTCCGCTTAACTGTTATTTGAAGACCTACCCGTATTAGAATTGTACACAGAAGATTATACATATACATTGTCATATTACTTTCATGTCCAAAATTCGATTTGTAACTCCGTCATTGCTAGTCGTCAAGGCCCCCAGACTAACAAAAGATCATGGAGAACATGGTGACTTGATCGAGACCATGCAGTACAATGTGTGTCAATCATCCCAAAGTTTAGCTCATTAAGCTATTTATGTACTTCATTTAACCATTCAAGCGAGTGATTCCAGTCAACAATTTTACCAACTGCCATGGCAAGCAATCAAAAACACTTTAGAAGACACAGCAGTTTACTATGAGATGGCAAAGTTATATTCCAGAATCCAGATCATCAAGAAAGCTTATTTTTGTCAACCCATACATAATCGTTACTAGCAGAACAAGTTGACCTACTGGGTTAAATTAGGGACTGTTATCCTAAAACACGGCCTGGCGGAAAAAATTTCACAAGCCGCCTGTATATTGGTTGTAACGACCGAATCTTTCACTAAACAACACATAAAATGCTTCATTGGTGGGCATTAGGCACACTAAATCAGAGACAATGATTAGTTCCACCAAAATGTTAATCAAGATAAAGGATACTGCATTGAACGACTAAGCATATGCAAGTCTTCAAATAACATTGTTTAGAGAAGCTTAAGGTTTTCAACACAAAAGTATGTCCTTAACATGAATTTACAATCTAAAGTCTTTCTCAAGACTAAAAAATTACACCACTGCAGCTTCATCTAAGTCAAGCAATTGTCTGGGGATAGCTGCAATCACTTTTTTTACGTGAAACAATTCAGTAAGTAACCAACAAGACTGCGAGATCCTTTACCTGCACCTCAAGCTTATAAACAGCTTGTAAAACGTCTCCTATGCAGATCTTGGCACTAACTTTTGACATTCTGGCAGACTTTCTTTTTCACAAAGTTTTTAGTCTTTGTAATTGGTAATAGATCAATCAGAAAAAGGAATGAGTTTCCATATTTCATTGTACCATATGGAGTAATCTCTACATAAATACCCGTGGTGCCCCGGAAAAATGTAAATCTGATCACCCTTTGCAAATATATTAAAGACATCCCACATAAAAGGACAGCGATAGAAGGCCAACTGGAGCTTTAAATATAGCTCAAGTTATTCTTTCAAAATGTCGATTGTATACCCATGAATAATATATAAACTCCATCTTCGGAGAAGATGGTTTTTGCTCATAGGTCACTCCGGACCATTATTAGAATTCTCACGTGTCTGATCCTAGGAGATTTAATTTGCGCATAACACACTAAACCTACAAACCTGGCAAGTCGTTCCTGAATAGTCTTTCATAAGTACACTCCACTTAAGTTGAGATCCATATCATATCGTGGCTTTACGCTCGTTTTAAAGTCAAGTCTTAGATTATCAGATGTGGAAAATAAACAATGTGATCATCGTACCGACAAAATTATCTGCTACTAACCTGAAAAATAGTTCAAAAGAGGACAGCCACAATCCGCCACCATTTACCCAAGAACAATCAAGGTAATCTTTTCAAAGAGCTTGAAATGCACATAGTGAAATCAAATCATCATCAACCAACTAAAAACGATGCCTTTTTCCGTCCATTAAGCAGACTCCGGAACGCATCGTTAAATGCATGCAGCAATTTACCGTTTCAACTTTCAACACTCATTTTCTCTAAAATGCAAAAGAACTCTTCATGCATAACGAAATCAACATTAGGCTTTTATTTGTTAGCTCAAAAATCAAACACGAAAGACGCAAGCGATTGATTCTTCGCACGGAAAACACGTTCGACCGTCGCAGTACCTGACAGAGCTTATCATCCGAAGCCCACGACACGCGCTTCGATTCCGTGTTCCTACTGCTATCCAAGTCTACTCGCAAGCGCTTGAAATGAACATAGCCAAATCAAAAAATCATCATCATCGTCAACTAACTAAAAACCCTGCCTTTTTACCGCCCATTAAGCCGAGACTCCGGAATGCCGCGTCAAAACGCATTCAGCAATCCACCGTTTCAACTTTCGACACGCATTCCTCAAAAAATGCAAAAAGAAAATAAAACTCTTCAAGCATAAACGAAATCAACACCACACTTTCAGGCTCAAAAAAATCAAACCCAAAACACACGAGCCACTGATCCTCCGCGCCGCAGTAGTACCTGACAGAGCTTATCATCGGAAGCCCACGACACGCGCTTCGACTTCCTGGTCCTCCCGCCGCCGCCGCCGCCGCCGCCCTTCTTCATGTCTTCTCCACGCCACGCGAGTCCCCGAGGGGGCGCTCCCCGGTGCTGCTGCTCACTCGGTTGCTCCCCGCTCTCTGCCGACGGCGATTCGGGATGCCGAGCGGGCCGGGCCGATTCATGAAGGGCTGCAGTTTTATACACGGAGCTGCGGCGGAACCCTAGCGAGGCGGGAAGCGAATTGAATGAGCGGGCGGTGCTCGTTTAGGGAAGGCGATGAGGCGACGCGGCTGTCGGAGTTGGGGGGGGAAGAAGAAGGAAGGAAGGGTATTGAAGAGCTTGCCTCCGTTGCGGTTGTCCAGAAGTGGTATTTCCCTGGCAACCGATGGTGGGGGAAAAGTAAAGGGAAAATGACACAAACGGTCCCTGAATTTTGATTCAACATGTAATTTGATCCCTCAATTTTTAATTTATTCAACGTAATTCCTGAACTTTAACCCAATATTTAATATGATTCCTGAACTTTTAATTTGTTCAATGTAATCTCTGAACTTTTGGTACATATTCAATATAGTCCCTGAACTTTATAAAAATATTCAATGTAATCCTTCTTTTAATTCAAGTTCAGGCACTATATTGTATATTTTCATATAGTTCATGGACTAAATTAAATATTTACTAAAAGTTCAAGGACTAAGTTGAACAAATTGAAAGTTCAGGGACCACATTGAATATTGGATTAAAGTTCAGGGACTATATTGAACAAATTAAAAGTTAAGGGACCAAATTGCATATTGAGCCAAAGTTCAGGGACTGTTTGTGTCATTATCCCAAAAGCAAATGATATGGATCACGCCGAGGGACAGCTGGCGTCTCTCTGCTTTTTAAGTTTTTTTACCTTCTCCGGTGGCTAAGGTCTTCTTGTTTTTTTTGGGGGGGGAGCTCCCATGGCGGCTGCGTCGGCATACCAAAAAAAAAAGTTTGAAAAAAATTTTTCTCGTGAAGTATTTTTCTACACCGCCTTTTATAAAATCCGCCCTTTTTATTTTTTATATTTGAGATGTAAGTGCGTTGTTGTGGCCCCCCGAGCACCATGTTGCTCGGGGGTGTGCTCGGGGGTGGCCGTGGATTGAATCGCGAATTGTTGGATGATGGCCAGCGGGCCGGTCGGGGTGCGGGCTGTGGCCGTGATCTGCGAGGTCGGGGGGGGGTTTGTTCTTTATGGGAACCCGTGAGAAGTGTTGTTTTTTTTTTTTGTCTTTTTTTTTTCTGTGATCTGTGGTAGCGGCGCACGGGATGGCCGTCGGCGGTTAACCCGAGATAGCTGCGGTCGCGGACTGTACCCCCCGCAGGTGGCGAGCTTGCGACGGCGGTGACGGCGGCCGGCTCTATTTCTGCCGCCGCGACGGCGGGCTACGGATCGTTACGTGGATTTAGATTCGGGGATCTCGAGAAGAGGCAAAAGGCGAGAAGAAAGCGAGAGGGGAATATGCCGATGGGTGGATCCAAGCGGCTTTATATGTATAGAGGAGTCCCACTTTGGACGCGCGTACACGTGGCAACCGATAGGTGAAAGTGGGTAAATTCCATGCAGCAACGCGGGGAGCATCCCAATTTTTTTTTTATCTTTCACCTTGCTTCATCTGCGAAAGAATATTATTTATTAAAATTTCAATCACTAAATTAATGCAAGAAGTAATTTCAAATTGAACACTCGTTATCTAAGGAAAAGTATTTCGGCGGCATAAATTAGGGAAACGGCACAAATTGTTCCCAAATTTTGATCCAATGTATAATATTTGTTCAATTTGGTCTCATTGAATTTTTGCCTAATGTGCAACGTCATCCTTGAAATTTTAATTTATTCAATGTGGTCCATGAACTTTTGGTTCTATTTAGTCCTTAGATTATATGAAAATATTGAATATTGTCCTTGAACTTGAATTAATGGAATATTGAACATTTTCGTATAATTCATGGACTAGATAGACCAATGAGAGGTACCGCGAGAGGACTGAATACCTGGAATGTAAGCTCTTCAAAACCCTTGAAAGTTTCAATTTGCATCTGGAACGGGATTCTCTACAAAAGTAAGGAGTAAGCCCATACAAATTTAGTTTTTTCCTAAATGCTCCATTACTGCTAGAATCATTGGTTCCTCAAATCCAAATAGAGATTTCATAGTTGGATGGGGTATTATCAACCGACTTCGTGCTCTCCGGATACTTTCGAATTGTTTACGCTTCAAAGATCAGTTCAAGGTGTTTATTAACAATAGACGGATGTATTCCCTACGGTTAGCTCAAGGAAAATCAATTTTACAGTCGTTGCTGAGTTCTTATACAAAAACTCACTCGGAGTTTTTTGAAAAATGCTCAAATCCATTGCGGTAGAATATGAATTTTGTGTTAAATTGCCTTTCAAGATAAATGAAAATATCAATCCAACAAAGGCAACCGATTCACCATCAATTGATTCGGTAATAACTAATTGAACCCTTTCACTCTTAGTAGGTATATGAAACATTCTACGTTAATAAAAGAGCTGAGCACATTAGAGAAAAAAAGAGATTGGTAATAAATTACCAGCATCTTAATAATTTTTAGCAAAATGACAAGTTTCTTATACTAAATCGAAAGGCCTTGTTTTCATGCTTGACGAATGTAACGATCTATTCCAAGTTCGATCTCAAGAAAGATTTTTGGCTACTCCGAATTCATCATCCAGAAGATCGCCACAAAACATGGATCGTGTATTCCTAATCAGCATTATCAATGGAAGATACTCCCTCTTGATTTAAAAATTGCACATTCCCCCTTCCAGAAAGCCATGTGGAAGATTTTCTAGTCAATTAGCACTAGTTCCCAAATTTACATTTATGATATTCTCTTTTTTTTTTTTTGGTCGGTCCTACTCTATCTCTCACTCACGATACACACTCAGACTTGCGCCCCACCTCTTGCAGGGCGTGGGCGTTGAAACCCACATCTTAAACTACGCGGCCCCACCCTTACCCCCTGCGAAGGTGGGGATTCGAACTCCCCACCTCCCCCTTCTCAAGTGAGAAGGGTGGCCACTGGGGTAAACCCCCAGTGGTTGATATTCTCTTATTCAGTCATGATTGTAAATTACTAACCCAATTTGCTGATCTTGTCAAGTACTATGATATGATGCTTTCATAGAGGAATATGGTAATAGCTCGGAGAGAATTTGAGTTCCTTGGAATGCATCTTAAGAATGTTTCTTACTATCCAGTGGAGTCTATTGCCAAAGAATTGCTAAAATTTTCTGATGAGAATCTTTCTCCCTAGCAAGTGCAAAAGTTCATTGGTATTGTTAACTACTGCGCCACCGGAAAAGATGCTCAAGAAAGATACTCTTCCTTGGGGAAAATATCATATTGTTGTAGTCAAAGCTCAAGCTTCAAGATTTGCCACTATTGCAAATCCCTTCCTATGGTTAAAGGATCCTCCAAATAGATGCTAGTGATAAATATTTGATAGCTATCCTTTCAACGTATATGTGGATTTAAAAGTGGAAGGTTGTCAGATATTGAAATGTATTATCACTCGACTTTTAAGAAATTTTTAGCCGTTAAGTATGGAATCAAGAAATTTATATTCCATCGATTATCATTTTCTTATGGAAATGGATATGTCATCATTCAACCAGATGATTAAGTTCAAACATAAGCAATTGTCTCATCCACAACTTCTCCGATAGGCATAGTGGTTTTCAAAACATTCTTTTGAGTTTAAGCATATTAAAAGAGATAAGAATGTCCTTGCAGATTTCCTTTCTAGGCCCAAAGAAGATTCTTCATTATTCATGTTTGTTTCCAGAAGTTCGACTAGTGGATTTCGAACACAAGAGATGAAGCCCACATTCCCTAATATAATGTATCCTCCAGAAGTTCTAGATTCGATCAAATCCAACACTCTTTTAGATAATCTCACAAATCTCATGTAGGAATATCGGTACAAGATCTTTAGGAGGTATGGCGGGCTGAATCTTTAACCAAGTGGCACGCATCCAAATTATTTGATCATTCATTCTTTGTCTTTCTCCCTAAAAGATGAATTTCCGGAAGAGCTCAAATGGTTTTATTGGTACGCGCTTAGTTGCCATACTTTTGCCATTCAATTTTCAACAACAATAATGTTAGGAATTATCAGTCAAGCAATTCGAAAAATTGGCGGTGGAAAATACTACCATTTTGCAAAAATGCTTTGTTGGTTTAAACCCTTGGAAGCATGGAAAGCTTTTCTCTTAGAACAATTAAGAGCATGCAGGCCATATCTAGAGTTGCACACAGTCATTTTCTTTTACAAGCCATTAATATTTGTCAAGCATGACAGCAATCTTTCCAGATACTCGGCGGATATAGGAGTTGTGACCTATAAAGCTCAAGTAGTCCCTGCTAAGCTTTATAAGCCACTCTCATGTTGTATTGAAGCTAATCCACAAGAGTATAGGAAAATCCAGCAAATCCTCTATGAGAATAATTGCACAATTCCTCCAAGAGTTTAGCTAGACAATAATAGTGATGTACCTTGGGATTATCTCAAGACCAAACCCTTGATTAATGCCATCTTAGCAAAATTCAAAAATAACAATCTATACCAACCGTTGTCATCACAAGAGTCGGTGGACCATTTTCTGAAGATCCCTTTGATTACGAACTATCATTAAGTCTGGAGATTCCTCATTAATGATGAATATGGACAGCTGGCCCCAGCCTATCATGCCGAGAACACATTTATTAATAGTAATATTTTAGTGGATCCAGGTGATATCCCTTCAGGATTTAATGATGTCCTATCAAGCTCTTATCAGTCTTTTCCTAAAAAGCTGCGATAAGAATCCGCATTCGAGATCGTTCCATCTAGATTTTTGCGATATGTAGAGGAAAATATAGAAGAAAGAAGTAAAAGCTGGGGCTGGGAAGATGTCATACTTCACCCAGAAAAGGTAATGGAGGTAGAATGCTCATTTCCTTCATCATTAGACAATGAATCGAAAGTGGATTAATAGTGTATCGTTGGGATGAGTCACGTTGTAATAAATGTTTTAGGATGAGTCGCGGTGTTGTATTAATTATACATCATATGTGTGAACCATATGTTTTATTAAGTATTAACATGCCTGTGTCATCAGTGATGTAACATTACTTGTATTTTTTTTCCCATATACGTATAAAAGGCATGGTTTGTAATAGATTGAGGCAGACTAGCCCTCGGAAATAAAATTGTGTGTTTGTGTGCTTAAATCATGCAAAACTAATTCTCCATTCTTCTTTTCAAATTTTTGTCCAATATTAGATATCTTAAAATGGTAAATATCGCCTTATTCTGGTAGTATACTTTGGACTCGCCTCCATGAGGGTTTTGTGCCTTAGAAACCGAGGCTTAGAAGGCCTTATGTTCAAAATGAGGTTTTAGCTGGATGCTAACAGGCAATCCCGACAAGGGTAAAGCTATGAAATGCATCGCGAGAGGACCGAATACCTGCATTTGCTAAGTTCTTGTTTAGAATATGGCCCCTTCATGGTATTATAGTAGATGGAACAAGTTAAAAGTTCAGGGACAACATTCAAATTGGGCTAAAGTTTGGAGACTTTAATAAATAAATTAAAAGTTTAAGGACCACATTGCACATTAAACCAAAGTTCTTAGATTATTTATGTCCCTATCCCCATAAATTATGAAGGTGGACCATGAGAGGAATTACGGCTTCATAGGACAAAATAACGTAACATAACTTAACATAATATAGTATAATATATAATATATTGGTGTAAATCACCTGTCAACTCCATTTGGAAACCACTTTCCCAGGGGGCCTTGGGAAAAATTAAGGGCGTGTGGCAAATTGGTTGCCCAACCTTTTGGCCTAATGCTGGCCTTGTCAAGGCTGAAAGGACTAGGCAGGTGGGCTTCGATGTTCCTAAAATCCTTTGCAATTTCCTAAAGGCTTTTCCCAAAAGTTCAACCCAAACGCAGCCTTCATGCGACGAATAGATGGCTGACAACTAACATAGCAAAATATTATTTAATCGGAGAAAAATCATGGAAAATAAGTTTTATTTTTTATTTAAATTAATTCAGTAAGTGTATGGTTCACAAGACTTTCATTTTGGTTAGAACTCGAATTTTTCTCACGGTCCATATCGATCTGTCCTTTTCGGCCCCAAGCCCACGCTCATTTCGATCTGCTATTTTTTTTTTCATTAATAAAAAAAAACAAAGAAAAATCACGAGCCATCAAGATGGCCCATAAAAAATAATAAGAAAATAAAATCACGCACGACCCCAGACTCAAAAACGACGTCGTGGCCAGGTTCTGCTCGTGGGTATACTGCCGAGCTCCCGAGCGACGTCGACGTCTCTCTTTCTCTCGTATCAACCAATTCGCCATTGCAACACCTCCGATACTTCGCTCTCGACCTAAGTTCCGGTTTCGTCTTCGCCGCTTCCCTCGGACATGAGGACGAGAAACGCCGGCGCGCCCAAGCCGGCCGCCCCTAGAAGGACGCCGCGGGCGAGGAAATCGGCCGGCGAGGCCGGTCCGGGGCCGGGCCCCGACCCGAACGACGCGGCGGCGGGCTCGGCGACGCCCCAGGTCGTCGAGACGAGGCGCGCCTCCGCCGCGCGGGCGAGGCGAGCGAGGAAAACCGCCTCCACGCCGGCTAGGAACGAGGATTCGGATCCTGCAGCCGAACCTTCGATTTTAGCCTCTGATCATGGTAATTGCTTGTGGCTTTTCCCGATAATTAGGGATTAGTTTGGCTTAGCTGCTAGCGTTACTGTGACGGTGTCGGAGACGGTTGTCGGGAACTTTTCTGAGCTGCTACTTTGATGAATTGTGCTGAAAGTTCATTTGTTACATTTCGTTGGCCTCTGGCTGTTTGTATATGTCCTTTTGTTTGGCATGTGCTATCTCACATCAAGGGTTCTGGACGTTTCAGTAAGGATAAGTTATCTGGTAATCTGTCTCTTATGCTTGCTGAGCTGCATGAAGTGTGCAATGGCAATGAAGCAAAGGTTGTCTTTGCCTATTTAATTTTCGGGTTATCAATCCAGAGTAAATTGTGCGTCGCTATTTCGTACACGACATATTTCTCTCTTTATGCGTTTAATTGTTTGATTGCACATTGGCTCACGTGAATGTTATCGTCCTTGGTTTTCAAAATTTTCTTACAGCTGAAGAAGTAGAAGGGTCGGCCGGTGCTGCTGCCGAAGTGACACCAGTGACAAAAGTTGGGACAACTCCGAAGTCAACGGGGAGGAAAACAGCAGGATGTACTAAGTCTCCTGCTTCGACAAAAGCTTTATCCTTGCAGATGCCCAAGTTGCTTGAATCTGTCAAAGTTCCTATAGAGGAGACTGTGGAGGAGATGGTGGTATTAGCTGACACCCACAGTGAAGATGATAACACAAAAGTTGAATGTGCGCCTAAGTGTGTTGAAGAACCCTTAGGAGAGGAAAAATCCAACTTGGCAATAGTTGAACGCCTTGAAGATGTCATTAAACCGGTGGACAAGGAACAGGCTCTGGTACAATTGGAAAAATCTGCTATTGAAGATGGTGGGCATCTGGTGGACAATGTAAAATCTCCACTTGCAAATTTTACAGTATTCGAGGAAAAAGAACAAATGCAAGTGGAAGGTGAAATAGCTCCTCCTCCAGGTGGTGAGGATTCTCTCAAGGAAGAGATAAATGCCGAAGCAACTTCAAAGCCATCAGATGATCGTGAAGTATGTGAAGTGAAGCGGGGAGAGGAAGTTATTGAAAAAAGAGATGTACTGGTCGGAAATAATGCAGGGAGTGGAGAGAAATCCCAAACTACGAAAGAGAATGTCCAGGAGAAGTTTGAAGGAGATTTTTTTCAGACTAGAAATGATGACTACGGGGTCGATGATGAGGGAATGGAGGAGTATGGTGATCGATTGGACTTTGGGGAACCTGGAGAGGAAGGCATTGGTGAGGATGATGGAGATGAACCTGCTGAAGAAGCGGACACTTTAGAAGTGGAGCATAAGGAACTATCAGCTATTGCAAAGGAACAAAAGATTAAGAAAGAACATGAAATTTTTGTTGGTGGTCTCGACCGTGATGCTGTAGAAGAGGATGTGAGGAGGGTGTTTGAGAGGATTGGTGAGATAATTGAGATTAGGTTGCATAAAGATTTTTCAACCAATAAGAACAAGGGATATGCCTTTGTTAAGTTTGCAAACAAGGAGCATGCAAAGCGGGCCCTGGTAGAGATGAAGAATCCTGTTGTAAGAGAATGTTCATTCTATTTTATCTTGTTTCATTTACCGGTGCAATTAGGCTTTTTGCACATTATTGTCCCAAAAATATTTTTACCAGTTGTAGCAAAGAAATGAACTGAGGACGCTTCACTTGTTTTTACTTGTAGATACGTGGAAAGAGATGCGGCACTGCACCTAGTGAGGACAACGACATATTGTTCCTAGGAAATATCTGCAACACTTGGACAAAGGAAGCTGTAAGTGTTGAAATGTTTGCAATAGCTGTTACTTAAGTTCAGCTTCCGATTGTTCATTTTTTGTGTAATGGCAGATAAAACAAAAGTTGAAGGAGTATGGTGTTGAAGGGGTAGAGAGCATAACTCTTGTTCCAGATGCTCAACGTGAAGGGTTGAGTCGTGGTTTTGCATTTCTTGAGTTTTCTTGCCACGCTGATGCAATGCTAGCATATAAGAGGCTTCAAAAGCCTGATGTTGTTTTTGGTCATTCAGAGAGAACGGCCAAAGTTGCTTTTGCTGAACCACTACGTGACCCTGACCCGGATGTCATGGCTCAAGTGAAATCGGTTTTCATTGACGGGCTTCCTCCTTATTGGGATGAGGAGTGTGTAAGAGAGCAATTTAAAACTTTCGGAGAGATTGTACGTGTAGTCCTTGCTAGAAACATGTCGACTGCTAAGAGGAAAGATTTTGGGTTTGTTGATTTTTCTAGCCACGAGGCAGCTGTTGCTTGTGTTGATGGAATCAACACTTCAGAGTCAGGTGATGATAACACAAAGGTACTCCCTCGTGCTTACTATTTCGTGCCTTTTGGTACTTCTTTTTCTGCTGAATATGTGGAAGGGACATGTTTACACGATATGAAGAGATTTTAAGAAAATCGTGAGCCGTTTTTCACCTTTGGGCTTTAAGCCAGGTGACTGTCACATATTAGTGACTCTTTGAACAATTGCTTGAGTGGAATCTGCAAATGTTGTTTATATGGAGATTGTAGGTTAAAGTTAGAGCAAGACTTTCCAATCCAATGCCTAAAACTCAGGCAGTGAAGGGTGGAATGTCTGGTGGATTTCGAATTGGTTGCGGTAGCGTTGGCACTGTTCCAAGACATGGTATCTTCTGAAATTTGCTGCTTAATATTTTTTTTAATCCCATCTCCATCTTACTTGGGCTCTTCTATTAACAGGAAGGGGATTTGGGTGGGGAGGACATTCATACAACAGAGGGAATTACCATAGCTGGGGTTTCCATCAACGTGGACGTGGTCAAAGCAGCAGAATGCGTTTTAGCTATGACCACGAGTTTGATAATCCATACCCCGATTTTCATAGGAGGCAATCTTCTGGACGAGGTTGTTGATTTGGCTTTCTTCTGTTAGTAACTTCTACGCAGCTAGAGTTGTTGGTTTGATGCCCTGAGTTAATGCAGGGGGAAGAAGGGGCATATCACGAGCTGGTCATTATATGTCTGGTCGTCATGTCCCTGTAGGCACGTCTTCAAGACCACCTATCGATAGATTATGGCGTGGTTATCCCGACAGAGGCCCTGGCATGCATCTACCTTCTAGGCCTTTACCTTACTCTCCTGAAGAACAATACAACAGACATTTTGACGGCAGGCAGTTTGATGACCCATACTTCTATGAGAGTGGTGCCCATGGTTTGAAGCGTCCCTTTCCTATGACAGTAAGTATCTCCACTGTTGTTCCCCTTTTTCCTCTTTGTTAAATCTCTTCTTCTATTATATCAGCATGCTTATCTGATGTCTTCTACTGTAAGCATCATATTCAAGTCTTGTATCCAACAACTTTTTTTCTTCTTGCGTTTTCAGGATCAAAATGCAGATTACATGGAGCCAAGTAGATTACGTCCTCGTTTTGATTATACGGATTCTTCATTGCCATCACATGGAAATGTTTATCGTGGTATGTTATCTGCTAGCAGCCCTGGAATTTTCCTTATTCTTACTGATATACTGCTTTTTTCTTCTTATCACTTACTGGCTTATCTGGTTCTCTGCTTCAGATGCTTTTGGAGTTGGAAGTGGGCCCTATCCACATGATTATTCTGGTTCTGATGTAAGCAAAACCATAGCTTCCCGACTTAATATTAGTCTTTCCATAATATGCTATGCTGACATCTAGGAAATGCGGCAGTATGGCGGAGGTCCGTATCCATCTTATTACGGGGATGATCGCTCTTATGGAGGTGGCTACTACTATTAGATTCAAATCCTAAGGTAACCCATTTTGTTCAGATGCCATTTTTTTGTATCTGAATGTGAATTATGCTAATTTGGTTATTGAAGCGTTTGATTATTGTTTTCAGGTAAGTTTGGAAATGCAGGAAATGCTTCATCGGTAATGGGGAAAGGCTCCCTGTTGCAAGAATATCTAAGTTCGATTACCTTTCTCCTATAAGATATTTTGCTTTAGTCTTTTACATCACATCTACTATCTAACCTCTTTTCATATCTATCCCGCATTTCGTCAGTTCTTGGATTCCCTATAGTTGTTAGGTTATGATGAAGACTTTAGAGTCTTGTAGATAAGGTGGCTTGAGGATGGGACCATATAAGTGATATCTTTTTGCGTGAAAGTAGAAGTGCATCCTGCATTTGCACTACGTATGAGGAGTTCGAGGTTTTCTACCACTTGAAGTGCAGATGTTGTACTATGCTTCATGGATATCATGTGCAGCTGGTCATTTTTAATGTTTTGGTTTAATGAAATAAATCAAGTGAATTTATTGATAGTCCAAAGTTTTGGGAGTTCAGTTTACTTTAATTGATGGAGAGCTGATTTTAAAGTTAATGATTTTGGTGGAGACTTATCTAGAGACAATATTAGCTGCTTTTAAGAGAGCTCAAGTAGGCTTTAAATTGCGTGCAATCATCAGAAGTTTTCGGCTACTATGGATGAATGCAGCAAGGATTTTTGGTCGAGGTGACTTCCTCCATCAGCTTCAGGGGATCAAGTTGTTTCCTATATTAAAAGTATATTAAAGATGGGCAGGTTAAAGCAGAACTTTGGAAATTTACTCCATAGGTGATGTTGCTCCAAAAATTAGTTGGTGAAGTTTTCGGTGTATACCTCAGAATCATGTCAACTAATGTGTCCGAACTTCTCATGGTTTCTAAATCCTTTGCCATTTGACATGGTTAATTGCATGAGCGTTTTAGGTGGATGCATATTCCTGAGCCTATTGATTTCGGTTCGTGGATGTTCTCTATAAGCAGAATAGTAATCTGATTCGGTGGTCTGTTATTCCATTTACATCTGTATGTTACGTAGTTGTTGTACTTAGTGGCTATCTTTCGTGAGAAGATATCCTCAGTAGGATCTAAGTGTTCCTGTAGATGGAAAAGTCTGCTCAGGTGCTTTGGAGTTTAGTAGCTATGAAAGTCAATCGTGTTGTTATGGCTTATGCATTGCGATTTTGACTATTGGAGATTTTGAGAAATCCTTGTCTCAACCATTCAATGTGGGAATTGGGAAGAATTAAGGGCATAAAGAATTTGGAGAAACTTCTAAGCGTTATGGTGACAGTGGTATCAAATGTCATGAATTTGCAGATTGTTAGCATAGGTTTGATAGTTCGACCCAAAAAAAAACATAGGTTGATAGGTTTCTTTATTTGGATTGGGGTGATCATTTATCTGCATAGAGATTTATGTTTGTCTTCCATGTTATCGTTGTCAGTCATGTCAATGATCTTTCTGAGCATATGTTTTTAGAACCACGCAGAAAGTGAGTAAAATTTATGCAAGTTTAAAGTTCTTTAATGTGTGATTGTTCATCTATAAGTTAAAATAAGATTCAGAGGTCACTTGTACAAACTTTAAAGTTGACTGTCATTGCTTTATCGATGTCAATGTCCTTTATACAAGAGATTCCACATGCTCCTTATGATGCGGATGGTAATAATGCGGAACTAGTTTTAGTTTGGGTTTTCCTATACGATAGAAGTGTTTCTACTGGCTTAAGAATGCTTGTCTTTGTGATCATCATGATTTTGATGTGAATAATCTCTGTGGATCAGTGATGAAGTTTTGAGTGTTGACTTGGTGACTTTTGAGGACAACGGCACCTGTAGTTTCTCCCTTATTATTTATTATGCTCTCACTAGACTTACCATATATATTCCTTATGGGCATTGTGTTAAGGCACATTAGGGAGAATTAGAAAGAGTTCTCAGAGTACTTGGTGTAATGTGGGGTGTCATAAGTTCTGGTACATGGTGGAATATCTGTTGTAAGTGGGTTTTGGCAACTTAAATATTTAGTGAACTTCATTTGAATAGGTATTGAGGTGACTTTAGGCATCCGCGTCTTTCATTTACTGAGGCGATTTTGGGATCTTCAGTTAGCATTATAGTTAAATTGGTCTTCTCAATCTTTGCTGTTCCTTTTTCTTCATCTAGTGTAGGCAGAGTTTTTGTGCTTCTTTCTGCATTGAAGTTGCTAATATTTTGATGGCCTCTCTTTTCCTTTTTGTATGATTTGCACATGTATCATTCATAATCTATGTCTTATTTGTTCAGAAGCTTTTTTTTCCCTCTAAAGATCCGTTCCAGAATTTGCTTTTTTAACTGCCTTGATCACTTATGCAAAAAAGAAGTTTCTAAAGGAATAAGACACTGTTCACTTGTGGAACCGTAGTTGCTTCGAGACTAGTGATTTTCATCCATTTCTATTCTACGTACATCGGCTATGACGTCTGGTCGACTCTAATAAATTAGGGGTACCTTATACCTTTATGCTTCTATATCTGGACCATTTACTTCTCCATTATCTATACCTGGTAAAGTTGTAATTTCTCGGCAAGTTAACTGTGGCGAGACTGCTATTCACAGGCAATAAATGAAGCCGTGTTGTATTATTGGTTTTCATACATTCTTTCTTTTAGCTGAGTCCATACATTCTGTTGTCTCATTTTTAAGAAGTTTTCTAGAAAGACGTAGCCGAATCTTCGGCAGGCATCAACTGTTATTTATACTAGTAAGAGACTTTCTGTAAATTTCTTAGTATGCCTAGTGTTACTGTTGTATCATTGGTTCATATACATTCTTTCTTTTAGCTGTGCCCATACACGCTGTTGCCTCACTTTTTAGTCAGTTTATTAGGAAGATGTTGTAGCTGAATCTCCGGCAGGCATCAACTGTTATTTATCCTAGTAAGAGACTTTCGGTAAATTTCTTAGTATGTCTAGTGTTTTCCATTAACCATTGTGTATACCCGTCGGAGTGAAACCTGATAAGGACAATCCTAAGCATGTTAAGATTCGTTTGCAAGCTGACGTGGCGGGTTTTTGTTTGGCATTGAAATGGCCACATGTAGTTCATTGCATTATTATGCGAATTAATTTCGTGAATCGGCGCATCGCCTGTACGAGAATTCTCTCCTCTTTTTTTTCTGAAGTTAATTTGTGTTTTCTTCATATTTGGTGTTAGTGCTAGCTGACTACTCGGCTATCGTGAATACAATGTATTTGGTTAGCTGACTATTATCCAGTGAGGTCTTGTGGACACTCGACATGCATATTGTAGACCGTAGGGTCATAGTTTTCCCACCAAGCAGAATTTAATAGTGAAAGAAAGAAGCTCGCTGTACGGTGGGAACTCTTTGTTTTGGTGTTGCTTTCACTGCATGCGTTTCGGATATGTCTCGAGTCCGAGGGCGGTATACGTGCACTCCTGTTAGATAGATGAGGATAAGGATCGTGTTTTTTAGTGTTCTTAAATTTTGATAAAAAAGTTCAAATTCGCATCGATGAGAGTTTCCGCGATTTATATTACAACTTGTAAAAAACCCCCCTTTATAATTGTCCAGAATCGGTCGTTTCCACTCTTTAGCAATGGATGTAGTGCATATTTCTTGGACTAGACAATTGAGAGAGAGGACCATTTAGGGCCTTAAGTCTCCTATTTATTTGCTTTTCGTCTAGCGTTAGGGTGTCCCACTTTCCACTATAAATAATGGTTCGTGTTGCTGGTATTCTTCTGAGATCACAAAATTGTCTCAACGAAAGTAGAATCTTCACGTAACATCTGACCGGACGTTTCAAAGTATGTTTTGGGGTGCGTTTGTTTATGGGGAAGTGTTTCCGTAGTTAGTTTTCTGAACTTTAAATGATTAGTCAATTGAAAATTTCTGGTTAAGGAAAATATTTATGCATAAAATTAGGAAAGTGAATTTCTAAATTTAAGAAGGTGAAAATACTTTTCGGAATTGTTTCACTTGAATTTTTTAATATTTTATTCCTTTTTTTTCTTTTCTTTCCTCCTCCCCTCCTCGCCGGTCGGCCGGTGAGCTTGAGCCTCGCCGGGATTTGGCAAGGTCGAGCTCGCCAGTGGCCTGTTGTGGCCATTGCCAAGGCCTAGCGGCTAGCGGAGGAGGAAGAAGGAAAAGAAAAACAGAAAAAAGAAAAAAAACTTAGTAATTTTTATTTGCATGAGATAAAGTCGTGATTTCAAATGAGATTCAAACACCAGAAAACGTTTTCGGTCACATATCGCCAAACAAAAGAGAAGTAATCAATTTTCTGAAAAATGATTTGGCGAATGTATTTTCTTTTTATCATGAAGTTTTTCCTAAATAAATGCACTCCTAATTGAATGGGTTCTTGGTAGATGCTTGGTTATTGCTTATTGCCTTGTGATCTGGTTTGGTTTGGTCGGAAAGCCGGCACTTAATTTGAGCAGAATACCTTTATAAAATCTAGTCTTTTTCTTTTTGGTCGAATATAAAATCTTGTTGTACTGCAGATATTCTTCAAACACTGTTGAGTTTCACGTGCGGGACAAGTCCCGTGGAACTTCTGGAAGAGTAAAGATTATTTATATATGTAGACTTTCTATCGCATAACAAACACTGCAAAAAATGAGATATATGCTTTGATTGAAGATTTGAAGTGTTAAGTTCCTTAAAATTATATGCAAATCCATTTTCTGTATGGTGAAGATAAGTTTTAGTTCTTTTAAACCTGAAAATGATCGAAGTTCGTTTTTGCTTATTGCAGCCAAAAAATAGTATGCATATCTTTTATATATCGGGATGTGGTATCGTTTCATCCCACTTTATATTCCTTCCAAAGCTGCCCTTCAAAAAATTAGTGAGAAAAAGTTAAGAATTAATTTCGACGCATCATCTGTGCATCACTTGCACCATTCAAAAAATAAGTACTCATTTTTCTTTTCAAGGTGTCTCTACGTTTTTTTTTTTTTGATCGGGAAGGTATCTCTAGTTTTCTTTCTATACAATAATCGAACTTTGTAAATGTTCTCAACGCTAGTCACCCATTAAGGACAAAAATAATCATTATGAATGCACAGGATTATCATGTTATTAATAGTGCGTTTGTTTCACAGAAAATTTCATGATAAATGAATATATTTTTCACTGGAATCACTTTCAAGGAAAATGTAATTGTTAGTTTTCATTTGTTTAGTCGTTTGGGGAAAGTGATTTCTTTCTTATCAGAAGAGTAAGTTATTTTCTCTCGATCTAAATTTCTTGTTTTCATCTATGAAGAATGTTTTGAGTAAATTTCATCCAAACGTCAGAAAAGTTAAAAAAACAATTTCTCGAAAATAGTTTTCCTTCAAATAAATGGACATGATTGTTATTCTACTTGAAATCGAAAATTTTGTAATTTTCACAAGTGTTTTTATTGAAATCTTAGAGAGTTTATTACCTTATATCTCATTCGAATTCCTCCTGTTCAATAAGTGTTCCTTGGATTGTGAATAATGAGCAATACCTTAACTTACGCCAAATAAGCTGAATAACCCTAAGCTAAGAAGAACAGGGTCAGTTCATGTAATTAATTGAATTAAATGTGTTGCTTTACTAGCAGTTGAGCTTATTTCTGTTTTTGAGAAAAATCAAGAGAAATGATTAAGTGACTTCCCTTAATTTGCTATAAAATTAACAGCATGTTCAAGACAACAAAAAATAAATAACAAATAATTCGTTCCTTCAAGAATTTGTGGCTCACAGCATGTTGTTACTTTCATAGTGGCCCAAAAGACTGTTATGTTAGCAAAGTCTAAAATTAAATTCATTATTAATTAAAGAAAGGTTGGACTGAAATTTTAGATTTTGATTAGGTGGAAGTCCATAAATAAACATACCCACTTGAGAAGGGACAGGAGTGCATCACGATTCATGACGGTTATTATTAGTTCAGTTCAGGTTATGTCAATGATGAGTAGCACAAAACATTTTCTATCTCCATCACTTAATAATAATTTAAAGGGATAATTAAATAAATATTTCATAAATTTTGGCTCAAAGTGCAATACCGTTTATGGATTCTTAATTTGTTCAATATGTTAGTTGAACTTTTTTTGGCTTCCAACTCTATAAGTTTGGACGATAGACAAAAAATGACATTACACGTGAATTATCCACATATGATATTCAACTATAATTAGGATATACTAATCTACGTCATCAAATAACATGGACAATCATTTTTCCAAATTGAACAAATAAAAAAGAATTAGAAGAGTTATTTTATTCTAACTTAAATTGAATATCTTACATAGATAATCTAATTCACGTTGTACGCTTTTTTTGTCCATCGTCCAAACATACCTGATTGGAAGCCAAATCAACAAATTTCATTAACTTGCATTAATGGAAGGACAACATGGAACATCTTCATATATTCTAAAGACTAAATTGAATATGTACCGAAAGTTCATGGACGACATTGCACATCGAGTTAAAGTTCATGGACCACATCGAACAAATTAGAAGTTCGCGGACATCACTGCACGTTATACCACAATTGAGGGACCGTCCGTGTCAATTTTTCCCTCGACGCGAAAGGATAAGGAAGTCTCATTTGACACAGAAACCGGAAAAAGAAGGAAGGGGCCAACCGAAGCAAACCACTCTCATTTCACACCTTGCCACAGTACCCAAACCCCAACCATTTTGGATGATTCAAGCCACATTGGAACCTACACTTTCCGTGCTTCAAGCCCTTGTGAATTTCATCCCAAGAATCGAAGCAGAAGCAATCGAATTTGGCCCCAAAGCCAGCAAGAAAACACACACCCGCCCCCCCCCCTCCCCCAACGAAGACCAAAAAGCTCTACAGGTCCCGCGGCCAAAAAATCCTCGTCCACGTTTCTTTTCCGCGGCCCCCCCCCCTATCCTCCCCTCCCCCTGACCCCTGGGGAAAAATTCCCCATCGGGGACGGAAAGCCCGAAGCAACGGTCCGATCCCTCCCCACGTGTCCGGCCCAGATCTCTCTCCCTCTCCCCCACCTGGCGATCCTCGGGAGCCGAAGCGGACCAATCAGGCTCCGCGTCCGATTTCGCCACAGATCCTCCCCTCCGTATAAATAGTGATGGAGGCCATTTCGGAGTTTCTTCATAGCCTTTCTCGCTACTACGAACAACCTTTTCGAAGTTTCTAGCGCTGCTGCTGCCGCTGCTGCTGCCACCGCTCAGTTGCGACCGCGAGGCCATGTCGACCACCGCGGAAGGCGAAGCCCCGGCCGTCGAGCAGCCGCCGCCGGCGGAGGCTCCGGCGCCGGCGCCGGCGACGGAGGCGGAGGAGAAGCCGAAGGAGGCGGAGGCGGCGAAGGAGCCGGTGAAGGAGAAGAAGGCCCGGGCTCCGAGAGAGAGGAAGCCGAGGCCGCCGAAGACCGCCTCGCATCCTCCCTACTTCCAGGTATTATTGACCGCACGACTCGATCGATTAGTGTCTGCGCAGAGCGTTCGTGATGTGACGGGTGCCGGTTTCTCTTGTTTTTGGAGCAGATGATCAAGGAGGCGATCCTGGCGCTGAACGAGAAGAGCGGATCGAGCCCGTACGCGATCGCCAAGTACATGGAGGACAAGCACAAGGCCGTGCTGCCGTCCAACTTCAGGAAGACCCTGGCGCTCCAGCTGAAGAACTCCGCCTCCAAGGGGAAGCTGACCAAGGTCAAGGCCTCGTACAAGCTCTCCGAGGCGGGCAAGAAGGAGAGCGCCAAGCCCGCGCCGAGGCCCTCGAGGAAGGCGGCGGAGGCCGCCAAGAAGCCCAAGGAGGCGGCCATGGCGAAGGCGGCTCCCGTCCCGAGGGCCAAGCGGACGAGGAAGCCGGAGGCGGCCAAGCCCGCGAAGAAGCCGGTGAAGAAGGCGGCGGCTGCGAAGCCGAAGCAGCCCAAGTCCATCAGGTCTCCCGCTGCGAAGAGAGCCAAGAAGGTAGCTGCTGCTTGAGGAGGTAGGAGCGCGGGGGGACGGGGAAACAGAATGTAATGTTAATTCTGGGCTTTTGTCTTTTTGGTGAGGGAAGATGCGAATGTGAATATGGGATATGGGACGTCGCTGCGTCTGGTAGTTTCTTTCTTCTTCCGTCAATAAAACCGGGGTTGATGAAGAAGATGGTTGTAACTAGGGTTTAAAGAAGAGTTTGTCTGATGTTTACCGAATGGTGATAGCTAAAGCTTTTAATCCTTTGCTTTGATTTCTGGTCTCTCTCCATCGCTTCATCGACTTACTTAAGTTTTTCTGGGCGTAAAGGGATTCGATGCCCACTTGCTCTTTCTTGGCTACGCAGTCTTGCTGGGGGTAAAGAATCAAGATTGGACTACACGACTGCAATCTGTAGTTTTTGCCTATGGAAAGACTGGATTCCAAGGTTAAGGTTTCGACCGTAAGTACAGATAATGGGTGATGGAAGTTTAGCGAAGACATTAAGACAAACGGGGTTATATTGGACAATTCGATTTGCATTTCTGATATCGTCCATCACTCCAAAACTTGAAGTAATCATGTCGTGTTGAATTCGGAATCATTGTCTCTATATGGACAATATGATGGAGATTCCAGATATTTCCTGAGTTCCCGAGAGTGGTTTCAACAAGAGCATATACCCACCTTCGCTTCGAAGCAATAATCCTGTCTTGCTCTTAAGTTTTCATGACAGAAAAAGCTTTGAACGTAGCGGCAAGTGGGTTTACTAGATGCTCAGCTTGCGCAATTACTAGTGTACGCTTGAATTTGTAACGTTGAGACTGACCTTGAGTGTTCGGGAAATTGTTGCTTGCGATCCTTTTCCCGAATCTGAACGCGGCTCTTATTGATCTCGGGCTATTAAGACGAGCCCTGAAGTCAAATGATTGGCGCCTCGCGGACTCTTCGATTTCGTATCTGCAATGCTTCGTTATCAGATGGCGCATTGAGTATCGCACGACAGATCACCGTCTTCCAGGGGCCGAGGATGGCCTGATGAAAAGAGAGAGAGAGAGGTATAAAGAAACAAGGGATTTTTGTTCGGTCGTGCGTCTGAAAGCAAGTGCGACGGTGAGCGTGGCTGGCGTTCCCCGTTTGAAGAAAAACGAAACGCATGTGCGAAAACTCTCTCGAGTCGCCGGAGTTCCAAAAGCGCAAAATGGTAGCCAGCTTCTCACGTGGCGAGCAGGACGGGATTAATGTAACATCGGGCCGACGCGTGTGCACGATGGTGCAACGCATGAATCGGAATCGGTAAGACATCGTGGAGGACGGCGGCTTCGTCCTTTGTTGTCGGTCCAATGGACTCCCCCCATCCATCTATGTGCTTCGCTGTATGCGGGTTGGGCTGATCATGTCTGAAACATGTGTTGCTGTGAATCGCCGAAAAGGGTTTGCAGTTTTCGTTTTTTCAATCAGACAAGAAGAAGGGGTTGGAATGAACTTCGAGCCTCTTTTCTCCTTTGAAAGAAAAACATCGCATGATCCCTGTTCGCTCATTTTATGACGAGGAATACCTTTTACCGAAACCTCGATTTTCGGTTTTTATTAAGATAGGTTCTGTGGCTTGACTTCTAGGAGAATTGTGGCGAAAAACAGAGTGTAACACAGGATTATATGGAATGGATAGAAATCGAATGGACTGGAAATGGATCTGAGATCAACAAAATTCCAAGCTATGTTACAATACTCCTATGAAAGCTGTAAAGGACTTGAAAGTTAACTAAAGCTACAGGAAGTTGTAAATACAGGAAGTAAAGGTGCATAGGAAACTAAAGTGCAGATAAGCTTGAGTGTTTTTTTTTTTTTTTGCATTGTTGTTGGGGTCCTTCCTCCTCCTTTCTTCTGAGTATTTGTATCTCTTCTCATTCTGTAACTGCTTGTCGGTTATTTCTGTGTTTTCAAACTTTGAACTTTGGCGCTTCCAATAACTGCCCTTTCTAATTGTCCGCCAAAACTTGATCTCAACAGCTGGGATGACTTCAAATCTGGACAAGTAACTTCCCACAATATGCTCGTGCTCACTATCCCCGCTTTTTGCTTATAACTTCCTGTTATCGTGACTTACGTTGCTAGGCTGTGATTCATCTTTACCGATTTTCTATAATGTCGGTATATTCCCGAAGCGTAAACTTCCCGAATTTCGGGATAAAGTCAACATTCCGAGGCATTAATATTCCAACGTCCCAAACTATGACTTTCCATGTTTCAGTAAATAAACAGATCTTCATCAATTACCGAATTCGGGATATGATGCCATTCATGCTTGCTCCTCAACATGTTTCCGAATTCTATCTAAACGCATTTCGGAGGATGGCTAATTTCCATATACATCAAATTCGGCATTAAAGCCGACTCAGCGTTTATGCCGATTCTTATTTTGGTGTCAACAGATGCCCCCTTTTAAAAGGATTAAAAGAACTTTTAATTCTTTTAAATGCCAGAAGAAAAGACACTTACATTTTATTCTTGCTGTCGCTTCGTCACCTCGCTTCGCGCGCTTTGCCCTTTCGTCTTCAAAACACTTCTTCTAAAAATCGTTCCTTTCTTCGTTCCTTTGCATTCTCACCTTCTCGACTCTCTGCAATTTTTCGACTCTCTGCACTCTCTCTCGATATTCGTCTGAACCTAATGGCTTCAAAAGCTTCCAAGGATCAAACTTTTTCCTTTTCCGCATCAGACGCCCTTGATCGCTACTATTTATTCCGAGATTCCGAAGATTTCAATGAAGAATTTCATCTGTTCTCCGTGGAGAATGACTACGAGGATTCTTACATCCTTGGTCCAGCAGTTCACAATAATTTCTCTGTTCCAAAATGCCTATCAAGCCACTCCCCACGTCACCAATTTGAGGTACTTCTAGTCCATGAATCATCTATCTTGGCATATCAGTGGCACTCTCGTCCCCCTCGCCTTAGGGCTTTTTCTGACTTTAAGCCTGATTTCTATCAATGGTATCTTCGACTCCTTCCTTCTAAGGGTCCTCTTTGGGATACCCTTTTGATTCATAATGCTCTGCGTCTCAGCTGCTTTGATTACCATTTGAATCGCGAATTGATCGGAGCTTTATTTTGTTTTTGGTCAACCTCTACTAACTGCTTCTTTTTCCCTTTCTCTCCTATGTCGGTAACTTTGCTTGATGTGTACTGCCTTACTGGGCTCTCTCCTTTAGGTACAGACCCATCTACCCTGTCTCTAGATTCTCGCTCAATGCTTGGTAGATTATCTGATTCTGAAATGACCTATGGGGCATTCATAAAAAAATTCTTCAAGAGGGAGAGTGTAGTTACTGACGAGGAGCATACTGCTTTTCTTTTGTACTGGCTCTGTAAATTCCTTTTCTGCCACCCCATAGTTAGGATTTCGAATGATTTTGTTGTTGTTGCCTCCGCTCTAGCATCAGGGACCTCACTTGCTCTAGGCAAAACCATGTTAGCCTTGCTATATCGGGGTTTAGCCCATGCTTCCTCCTCCATTGTTTCAGAAGAAGTTAGTGGGGTTTTTGGTGGTCCTCTTTGGCTTCTTCAAGCATGGGCGGCTTTCTATTTCCCTGCCTGGTTTTCTAAGGATCAAGTTATCCAACCCTTTTCGATTTCCATTCCTGACCAACCAATCTGCCAGGCCTTGAGTAGGAAATTAATCCCTGTTTTCGAAGAGCCATCTTCTTATCTTCGGTATTTTATTTCTCAAATCTATTCTGTGGAAGAGAACCCATATTCCCTCTCTCCTTTCTTTGTTCCCCAATTCAAGTCCTACCTTCCCCTTTCCGAAAATAGGAGTGACTTCCTGCACGTTCGACTTCGTTGATCTTCCGTAAGATTTTCAATAAAAGGCAGATTCGTTGCTGGTTTTGAAATTTACTCTCCCCAATACTATGCCAAACAGCTTAGGCTAATTCAAGGGGTTCCTGTTCCAGCCCTTTATACTTTCTCTTATGCTTCCTTTGATAAAATATCCTGCAAGCTGAAAGATAATCAACCTTTCATTGAGCTAACCACACTGGTACGGGGTATTCATCGATTATCTCGTGTTGCCGAATTTACTGGATATCCCGATCGTTCTTCAGCTGATTTCGACCTCTGGTGGGATGGCTATCGAAAGACAATGTTTTCTGATCCTCTAGATCAGATTCTTTTGAAGATAAGGGATACTATTCCTCTTACAGCGTCAAAAGCAATTGAAGCTGCAAATGTGCCTTCAACTAAACCAACAGAGTCTTCTAAAGATAACTTGATTCTGCCTTTCCATATTCATATATTCTGTATGATACTCAATCTTCAATCTGACTTTTTATTCTTATAGTAAGCAAGAAAAGGAAAGCTTCAGACTCATCTGTTCCAAAGAAAGTATCAGCAAAGCGTAGTGTTAGGAGAGTGATTATTCGATCCTCAGAGTCATCTCCAGAAAGTTCTCCAGTAGTGAGTCAATCTCCAGAACCCACACTTCGAGCTATGATAAAGCCACGCACTCTAAAAGGTAATTCTCATGCTTTACTTTTGGAGGTTATTACAGCACTAACTTGTTTATCTTCTGATTAATCCAGGAACTTTTAAGACCTATCAGCCCAGTGCTGCTTCTCCTGTTTCTCTTCCTAGCAAGGCTCCTGCCCCACCATCTTCCAATCCTTTACCAATGATTATTGCTCCTTTGACAGAGGCTAAATTGATTCAAGAACAACCCTCTGTTCCAAATCCAAAAGAGAGTATACCACTAAAGGATACTCCTGCCCCTATTGTAGGATCTGAAAAAGATCTTCCTTCATCTTTCATCGGTAAATGTTACTACCTTTTGTTTGACTCAAGATTTTATGCTGTCATCTAATATACATAGGCCAATATTTGCAGTTACTGATGAGTCTACTCCTGTGCTTCAAGAGACTCCAATTTCTGAAGGAGCATCAAGTGTACCATTACTCGCAGTTACTGATGAGCCCACTCCTGCGCTTCAAGAGACTCCAATTTCTGAAAGAGCATTAAGTGTACCATTACTCGCAGTTACTGATGAGCCCACTCCTGTGCTTCAAGAGACTCCAATTTCTGAAAGAGCATCAAGTGTACCATTACTACCTGCTACTTATACAGTTACTGTTCTGCCTCCCTCCACATCTCGTGTTGTACCCAGTCCACTTGCTGAGATAGAAATTTTTTCTCAGGCTGAACAGGCGAAAATGGAAAGGATATTAGCAGGTACTCATCCCAGCTCTTCCACAGCTCCTGATTCTCTAGAGTCTCC